AGGAAGGGCCCGTAGTAGGTATTATATTCTATAACTATCTCGCGCCTCTCGCTTTTATCGTGCGAATATATTCTATAACCTATTTATATTTTATATACGTTAACGACTATAACGGGTGTTTCCCGTCGTAGTTTAAATACTATACTATATCCCTATTTCTTAGCCCGTCTCCTCGCGGTTTATAAGGGTACTCCTAGGTAGCGTGGTCCCCACGGTACTATCCGCACTTAGTCTTCTATAAGTATCTTTATATAGTATATCTATACCCTTAATAGTTAAAGCACTATATTATTACCTATACCCTATTCTATGGCTCGGCCATAAGGAGCTCTCCTTCTACTAGGAATCCCTTCTATATAATATATTATACGAGGGCGGGGTCTCGGAGCTCTATAATTATAGTAGAGTGTTTTTTCGCCGTTATCTTAATCGCCTATAGGTTCTTCTACTACGCTTTCACGATCTTAATCCCTAGGTATTTTCGCGTGTTGGATTATTCTATACGCGTAATATCCTCTGCTCCGATAGCCTATCCCCGCACGGGTACTACGTGTACTATAATCGGGTATATAGCTACTCTAATAGACGCGCCGGGGAAGATACTATCTATTACGTTTAGATCTCGCGAGATGTTTTACTATATAGTATTCGTTATAGTAGTAAGTACTACCCTACCTAGCGTAACTTTAGTAGCCACGACGCTCGACTACATTCCTTTCTATTTATTAATCTTATTTATAATTTCCTTTAGAGATACCTATTAGACCTACGCTAGCGTGTCCTTATTCTAGATTATAATACGTATACTATATACTCTATCTATAGTCCTAGTAGTCCTTAGTACGGTGGCTCCGGGTATTACTATAATCTAAGCCTACATGTTAGGGCGCTTACCTTAGGATAGCTCTTCCTAGATTCTCCGTAGACTAGCTTCTATTTAGTTAAGCCTACTACTAGGTTCCTCTCATGGCGACTTCCTCTCTTCCTCTATGATTCCTCTTAGATTCTAGATAAGTTCCTAGAATATATGAAGGAGGGTCTTCTTTCCCTCCTCGGCGTCCCTCTCTACACGTGTTACCTAGTATTTAATTTTATCTAGGAGGGTCTCCCCTCTCGGGGTCCCCTTAGTCTAGGTTATCTATAGCGCTTCGCACCCTTAGTTAGTTCCTATATTTTAGATAGGTGTCTAGCTATCCATATTAATATCGCTATATAGCCGTTTCTACCGTACTAGTAGGGGTATATCCGGTGTATACTAGGGTATTATAATGCCTAAGGCCGCCATGGTTATTAGTTAAGGGTAGCCCTTAACTAATAAAAGGGGGTCGGCGTATCGGCGTTTATTAGATATAGTCTATGCTCGTATTATCGAAGAGTCTTTAAGTGTATATATATAGTATCTCTATACGTTAGTATCGTCGCGTATTATATACTATACGTACGCACGTGTGTCGGAGGTTGTTATACTTGGTATACTCTATTGTTTAATGTATGTAAATCGCTGTTTTGCCCTAAATTAACTAGTTTAGTCCGTTAGGGTGTAAGAAGTTTTTAATGGTCACGGATTTATATAGTAGGGGTTAAAGGACTCGATTTATTATCTTTTAGAATGTAGTAGGTGCGTTTAATAGACTAAACGGTATTATCTTAAACTTATATTTACTATAAATTATATTAAAGGTAGTCTTAGAGACGTCTTCGTCGGCTACTCGTACTTACTAAAACCCTAAGGTTAAGTCTATCTTACTAAATACTATTAACTAGCCGAAGGCACGTAGATATTTATCTATACACGGAAGAGGGGTCGTATCCTTATATGTAAGTATATTAAGTACTTAATAATTAATATATATTCGCTATTTACCTCCGGGTTTAGGTACGAAAAGTACTAGGCTACCCTAGGCACTTTCTAATTCTTAGATAAGCCCTCGCTCGATAAGCTTCTATATCTACTTCTACTATTTAGCGATTTATTCTAGGGAGAGGTAGTAGACGGCGTTATTAACGGGTCAGCCGTCTCCTATATCTATCTTATAGTCCTATTATCTCGAAGGTAGTAGTCCTTTAGATAGCTTCTCTTTAAAGATGTCCTAGTACTCTATTAAAACCGTTTATAGTATTAGATCGGGTGCCTATAGTATAGGAGGGTTATCTTTTCTAATAAACTATATTATACCTTACTTATAGCCGTTTAGATATTATTTCCGTGCTTAGCTAGCGGTAAGGATATTTAGTACTTATTCTCCTTATAAGTTAATATTAATTAACACGGGAATCCTCTTAAGGAGATACTCCTTAGTCCTTCCTCGAGCTACTAGCCTTCTAATTACTAGGGAATAGAATCTCTATAATATATCGGGATTCTATTTATAAAGCTATTTATAACCTAGAATTAGATTATAGCCCTTAAGGTTAAGTACTCTCGCGGAGACTTCGTAAGTAAAGCTTTCTATATAAAGAGGGATTTTTATAACTTCTTAACTTATTATTAGAGCTCCTAACGGAAGCTTAACACGTATTATAGGGGTAGATTACGGTACTAGCTTTAGACGTCTAGTAACCTTCGTTAACGTATATATTCTATTAGCCCTATAGTTAATAAGGACTAAAACTCTCTAGGGGTGGACTTTCCCTACGTAAGCCTTAAGTTCTAGTAACTATCTACTAATAGAGTTTAGTTAATAGAGACGATCGTTAATAACGTCCGTTAACTCCTCTTAATAATAGTAGGTACTCTCTAGCGATTTATAAAGCGCGTTAATATATTTATAGTCCTATATATTTATCTTATTTTTATTAGTATTATTAGTATAGAAGCTCTTATAGTCGCTTATAGTATCTTCTATATCTACTACGGGCGACTAGCTTTTAGGGCCTCTTCGTTAAAGACGCTTAACGTATTATCCTTAATAGTAATATAGACTAGCTTATCTAGAGTCGGATTTTTAGGGTAGAATCTTAAGATATATTCTAACTTCTTATAGTTAAAGCATTCTTAGGTTTCGTTAAGAGCTCTTAATAAGCCTCCTTAGTATTTACCACGGCCTTAGCCTTAGTTCTAGCCTCTACCGCGGCCTTAGTTACTCTATTAACGCTTTATAAATACGTAGAGCTTACCCTTATCTCTAGAGTAGTTACCTAATTTATCTTCGTGTATATATAAGTCCTTAGAAGGTTTAAATTCTTCTAGTTTCTTCTCTTCGTCTTAGTAATATATAGTATTAATATAATAAGTAGCCTCCCGCCTATAGTATTCGTTTCTAGAGTAGATATATAAGGCTTTCTCTAGCCTCTTTACCTATAGATACTACTCTTCTAATTCTATAGGAGGAAAGAGCTACTTTTTAATCTTATATTAAACCTTAGACTTAAGGGCGCCTAGAATTCTACGCTATATCTTATATTTAGAAGGTATAGATTATAGAAGTTATACCTTTTTAATAATAGCGTTAATAAGCTTCGAGGTAGATCTAAAATAATATTAAGTAAGGTTCTCCTATTCCTTTCTACGCTATTTAGAGTAATTAGTAGAGATATACGTTTAACGTATAACGTCTAGAAAGCTATCTAGTATTTAAGGACTATCTAGGTTATTACGTCTATAGGCTTCTATAAGACTACGCTAAAGGGTATAGATATACTTTAATATATATATTCTATAGATTTATAGTTTCTCGAACTTAGGTATAGCTTCCTACTAGCGCTCTATTAATTCTATAGTATAAATCTATTTCTAGATTAATAAGTACTATTCCTCGTAGGTATTATCTCTAGTTTCTCCTAAGTATATATTAGGTACTCGGAGTAGAATACGGCCTCTTCTTACTAGTATAGCTAGGCTCGCCTAGTTAGGGTTATTAAGAAGGAGGTTATTAAAGTCTCTTACTAGTTCTTCTCGAGTAATATAGTTATTCCTTATTTATAACTCGAGTTAATTAGTATATATATTAATTAGTACTAACGTACGAGCGTCTCTAGTAAGGTTTCTTATAGCCGGGTTAGTATTAAGGAGCGCGGTAAGCGCGTTAATAGTATTTAACGGCTTATTACGGGCGCGTTCTATATTTTAGGGAGTATTAGCTTCTTCTATAGGGACGTCGCTATTATAATTAGGGTTCTATAAGGAAGATATCTTAATATAGCTTAGGTAAGGAAGGCGTTTCCTAGGGTAATAATTATCTTCCGAGTTAGAATTATAGCGTTAATTTATATTAATAAGTAGCTAGAATATCTATTATAGATATAGAGGGAGTTAATATATATTTTTCTTATATGACTCTTTTAGCTTATTTTATAATATATTACTATCTACTAGGACTATTAAATTTAGTCGTTAAGCTTTATTACCGTAATTTCTATCTCTAAAATTAGGATATATCGCTTTAGAGAAGGGTTTTCGTATTAGACTCTAGGTTCGTTCTTATTATTATCTAGTAAGTTATATAGTTTATTATAAGCGTTAAATATTTTTAACGAGTTCCCTTATATAAGGGGTAAGATAACTACCCCTTAGAAGGTATCGCTAAAGCGATAGCCTCCCTAGGAGGATAAAAACTAGATTTTAGCTACTAGATATAGGAACTTTAGTAAATTAGACGTGGTAAAATTAATTAACGTGTCTACTAAGTCTATCTAAGTGCTATATATACTAGCCTAACGCTGAATAAGATCTGAGTAACGGGGATTACCTAATAGGAATCCCACATCAGGGTTGAATTGAGGTAGAGAAACGTGAAGCTCCAAAGGTCGAAGCGGAGCAGCCTTGACTTACTGCAGTCAGTGAATGATCTAGCATGAGCATGAACCTACTGGTACATACCTGTATTGCTTTTCAAACGTTCCGTAGCTTAGGAGTCATGTCCCCAAGCATATAAAATGGATAGGTCCCAGACCCCCACCACCCTTGCACTTGAACGGCTATACCGCCGAAGATTTCCCGCGCGAAGTATCATGGAATGAAGACCTCACTTCCGAAAGTCCATCGCCAATTGCAATTGCTTACTCGCATTATGATGTCGCTCCAATGCCTGCGTCGCCTCGAGCGGCTCACGCTCAATCCGAAAATAGCACTCAATCCACAAATTATACGACCCTCGTCGATACCCCGACTATGTACCTCACGAACTGTGCCCTCCCGCCGCCCGTTTTCCTCCACCCCAATCCCTCGCGCAACCCTCATGCAAGTCCTCCGCGGATGCCGCAAGCCCCAACCTAAACGACGCGCCGAATCACCTGCTGTGCGCGGCCGCTGTGAGATGAAAGGAGTGTGTGTACGTGTCGGTGTCATTACGCCGAAGAAGCCTAATTCAGGAGAGCGCAAGTTTGCAAGAGTGAGGTTGAGTAGTGGCGAGGTTGTTATGGCGTATATTCCAGGGGAAGGTTAGTGTTCATTGTGAGGTGGGAGAAGGGGTGGTCATGGAGGAATAATGCATGGAAAACATAAAATACTAACAGAAATTATAGGACATAATTTGCAGCAGCATTCTGTGGTGATGATTAGAGGAGGGCGGTCGCAAGATTGCCCTGGTGTGAAATATCATGTTGTCAGAGGAGCGCTAGACTTGGTATGTACATGTCAGGTAGGATACTCTATTGCGGGTGCTAATCTTGTGTAGGGTGGTGTAGGTAATCGTGTCACGTCGAGATCGAAGTATGGGACGAAAAAGCCCAAGAGCATCGTCTCTGAATGAGTCCATTCTTGAATAGCTGTATTATTAGCATTCTCACACAACTTTGTTCGAGAAAGAGTGTACGACAAGAAAATATTAGCATACGGCGTGAAAACTATTTACAGTTGCGACCGATCTTAATACAGTCCCTGCATTTTCATTGTTTCCTATAGTGGCATGCTGACTCGACTATAAGAACCCATTCGCATACAAAGCTGCACTCATGGTCATTCCCTCTTATCTGCTGGTGTCGAGAACGTATCGGCCAGCGATATCACCCGCAACCATTTTGTCGTACACCATTTGGAGCTCACTGAGACCAACAACCTTATAGGGAGCTTTAATCAAGCCCTGGCGGTAAAACTCAAGAGCCTCAGAAGTGTCATGACGATTACCGACGTATGAACCCTTGATGGTGATCATCCTGATGACAGAGTCGAAGACAGGAGCGCGGAGGTATGCACCTGCTGGAAGACCAATGCAGACGACAGTTCCTCGTGGACGAACATACTCGGCAGCTTGTTGGAATGGCTTCTCATTAACAGCAACGAGAATGACAGCATGAGGGCCTAGACCATCTGGTGTGGCGGCCTGGACATCTTTGACCACATCTTTGCTCTTAGCAAAATCGACAAAGGCGTAGGATCCAAGCTCTTTGCACATGGCTGCTTTGGCATCACCAGTGTCAATAGCAATAGTCTTCAGACCCATAGCCCTGGCGTATTGCTGAGCCAAGGAGCCGAGACCACCGCCAGCACCGACGATGGCGACAGTCTGGCCCGGACGGGCACCAGACTCCTTCAAGCCCTTGTAGACAGTGATACCAGCGCAGAGAACAGGGGAAACTGCGTCAAGTGGTATGTCCTTGTGAAGACGAGCCACATGAGCGGCTTTGGCAATACAGTATTGCTGGAAGGATCCGTCCACTGTGTAACCTGATAGAAGGGCCTTGGAGCAGAGAGGCTCGTCCGAGCGCTGGCAGAAATCGCAAGACAGACAAGAACCATTGATCCACTACATGAGCCGGTTAGTGATACTATACATGACGAAATAATGTGGAGCTAACCTTTACACCGACGTGATCACCGATTTCTACATCTTTGACGAGCTCACCGCGAGCTACGACTACACCAGCACCCTCATGGCCACCGACCAATGGTAGCTTGGTAGGAAGAGGCCAGTCGCCATTCACAGCGTGCAGATCCGTGTGACATACACCAGAGAATTTGATGTTCACAAGGACTTCATCGGCGGCAGGCTCCTGAACATCGATCTCCTCGTACTTGACCGGACCTCCAACGTTATAGATGATCTGCGCCATCTGTCGCTTGGGGACTTGTGCCATGTTGGAAATTTATCGTACGTAGATTCTCTTTATGTCTTGCAATTGGTCTAAATTGGTAGGATCTCAAGTTTGAAGGGAGAATGATACAACAATAACAGTGGTTGGGAGGGTAGGTACGTCCTTATATAGATCAATTGATGTTAACAACGGCGCTGAGGGTCGATCAGACACAACTTCGGCGTCTACGTAGCTCAATTACCCCTCCCGCCCATCTTCTGGGCATGTCGATGTAGTGACGATACATCGCGCTGTTGCAGGGATCGACGTATCGCGGCGACTTGTCTTGGGCCGGTGTCATCTTTGTGTGACCACTCAGAGATGACAGAGGCATACGAGTTCTAGACCTCGCCGGACCTGCGGAGAATGGACATTATGAAGTCGCATCATCATGCTCAGCTGTTGGATGAGGCGGCCGACTGGAAGCAAGGAACGCTAGCAAAGAGGTTGGAGGCGTGCAGGGGCAGGTTGGCTTGAAGGAGTAGCTTGTGAAGGTCGAGCAGCCTTTCCATTCTCACCTGATGCTGAAGATGCAGCTTGTCTCTCACCAACGGTCCGTCATCCATGTGTGCGAGAAGGTGGAAAGGCTGGCTCTGGTCCTTTCGCTCTCTCTTATAGATCAGCTTCAGCACCGTGGTGGTCAATATTAGTACTCAAATGGTCAAGTCACTAGAAAGCATGTGGAAGAGCTGACCATATTTTCTAACTCTTCCCTTCTTTTTTCCTTCAATCACCTCCCAAGTTCGTTCCGGTTCGACAGACGACCGCCACACCCCAGTGGCTCGACCAACGTGCCGTGCAGTTGCCTTCAGTCGACTTCTACCCCTCAGCTCAGCCCTCGGAAACCAGGAGCAAACTATCTCCACACCACGCGTATGATCCACTGTACTGGTGTCGAGACTCTGGTCAAGCCCAGTTGAGTGACTGGGCATTCCAAGGAAATCCTCGACTGGTTCCACAATTCTGCATCCGCTCCGTGTGCCCGATTGGCCTCGTCGACATTTGTCCATGTCTGCACAAACAGGTTGAGAATGAGGGATAACTAGGGCGTCGTGTAGCGTCGACCATGGGTTTGCGGGGTTGAAGGTTGTGTGGAGCAAGCTCCGGGGCCAAGGACGAGAACACTGCACACACCTCATGTTTTGGCACGCTAGAGCTGTACCCCAGGAAATAACTCCACCATCCGCCTGTCATTTTTTTTGGCGCCAGTCTTCCATGTTAATGCTTAGTCTTCATTACTTATTAGCATATGTACCAATTAGAGTATAGTGTATGATATGTATATACTTTAATAGTACTAGTAATATAAATACTATTTATATCTTATTTATAACTATCTCTATATCTTATTCTACTATGAGATTATTAGTTAACTAAGATCTGAGTACATATAAACTTTTAAAAAGAGGGGGTAATGTAATATAAGAGTATTGTGCCACAAGCCGATATTCTTCCGATAGCTGTGTGTGAGCGGTTCATTGCTTTCAATCCTCCATATCGACACGATTCCATAGACTTTCATTACCTCATCTGTTGATTGCTCTTTAAGGCTGATTATCGCTTCTGTAGCCTCTTCAGGTCCCGCTTGTGGCACACCATGGGACTCACTGTCGATGCCATTGTGCACTTCCTCAAGCTCGCTGCCAATTGCCCTCGGCCCTGCAACTGTCACTGACAACCTTGGAGCTATCTACGTACTTCGGCCAAGAGACCTTTGGGAAGTGGAATCTGACAACTGAGAGAGCCAACGAGTGCCTGGAACTTATCCCTGATCAGGACAAAAACCCCGAGGCGTCGTGGCACCATTCGATAGAGACATGTGCATTGACAGTGTTGCCTCGGCTGTCAATTACATATATTCACTTGGACTCGCATATAATGATCTGAATCCGTCGAACATCATAATGAGGCGCAGAAAATTCCAAGACACTGCCTGTCATTGTTGACTTCAGATCATGCCAGCCTATAAGGTGAAACTGCTTTCAGCGTGCACGCCTGAGTGGACAGAAGAGAATGGCTGGTCTATTTCCGTCACCCCAAATGATGAATGTGCTTTCGACAGGCTTTCAGCTTGGTTGGTAGAGAAGTCCTGAATTACTCATAAAAGACTTTCACCAATGTCACTTCTGATAGGAAACACTTTTAACACAAGATAGCTGTGAGGAAGCGACTCTGTCTCCCGCGCTTCTTGGCGTCGTAGCTTATGTGCTATTTAATCCACACCTTGCAGTTCTAGCTGCCGCTGGATGAACCGCTTGTTGGTAATTGATAATTACGAGATGTTGAACACGTCGTACTACCACAATCGTTCAATCCGATCTCAACCTGTCTGCGCACCTGGACATCGTCGATGATTGTGATGAAGGTCCATATTTGAGGAGTACACCTGTTCAAATCTTAGGATGTAATACTATGAATGTGTGAGGCTTACATTTTGTGTTTTACGAAAGCAAGACAGACGTAAAGGGACAGCGATTGCTTTAGGCGCCAAATGTGTCACGTGTACCACCTGGAGTATTTAGTCGCTAGTTTTGTGACAAGGTACGGCAAGATGGGTCATGGAGTAATCCAAATAAAGTATTTATGTCCTCAACGAGTATGCTCTATAGTGTAGACCTGAGAGATACAGTGAGAGACGCTGTGCGCGACGATATATTTGGATGGCGATAACCAGATATACAAGCCAACGATCCAATGTTATCAAATAGGCGTATTAAGGCGTTGCATCTCCAAGCATCTAAAGATAATATACGTCATTTCGTATGACAGACTTGCACAGCATATCACGTCACAGTACTATATTATATTAAAATAGACCAACAACTTCCACTCCATGACTAGACTAGCAGAGAAGAGCTGATCTATACCACCAATCTAAATCCTCGTTCAATTACCAGAACATAGTCCTATGCTACAGCTTGTAAAGGACCTTGAGCCTGCTGTTTATCTTAATCAGCAATTGTGCTGTCTGTGTTCCACATCGTGAATGAGCACACATATACAGAAATTAGCGACGATTCTACTGCTCACCTCGAGTGAAATAGTAATGAAGTCGTGCACACTAAGTTGGAGGCCTCTCCTGGCTCTTTTGAGTCTTCGAGCACATTCAATTCCCATCTACATGCTGACCGGCCGACCTTTCAATCTATACCATGCTAAGCTTACCCTCTCACGTCGGTTCATGCAGCCACATGGAGATGCGGTCTGATCCTCCATTACGTGAGTATCTGGAACTGTGCGTATCTGTCTGGACATCTAAAATAGCACCCGGCCCGCAAACACTTGGCTCAAAGCACGTGAACCTCAGCTAGAGGACCTAATGTCATCATTGCACGGCCAAATTTAAGACTCAGCATCCCAGGTACCGTTTTTCCACCCACCTCACCTCCATATCATCGACAACCCTGCACAGGACTACCCTCAGATTCGGAAAGACGCTCATCATTCTCTGGAGACCCGTCCTTCCCGCCATATATGTTACGAACACAATCCGATCCTCGCTCACACCATGATCTACCAGCACCCTCACTGCCATCAGTGCTGCCCCGCCTGAGCTCATTTGAGGATCAAGTAACATAACCAGTGAGTGCTTCTCCACGTCAGGAGCAAGTTGTAGGTAATGCAGTTCTGGCTCGCCAGTCCGAGGATTCGTTTGGATTAGAAGACGCCCAGTCTTACATTCGGGTAAAATCCGCCGTAAACCAGGCTCAAGAATGCTGCCACCCCGGAGAATTGCGACGGCTGATACTGAGCCGTGACCGGACGTTGTCAGGCCGGAGTATTTGTTTCCTTGGGGCGTGAGAATCGTGATGGGGTCGTACGGCTGGAGAGAGACGGCACGCTCGATGAGAATTGACGAAAGCCGGTCGAAGTAAAAAATATAGTCTTCTGCATCGGTGTTCGGATCTAGTAATAGCGTATTGATCGCACGGATCTGGTTCGTATCTGGCAAAACAATGACGTTTGGCGAAAGTGGTGTTAGCTGAGCCACCACACCCAACCTGCGCAGCTCGACTTGGTGCTCACGAGATTTCTGGAGCAGTATCTTGTTGATGCGGTCGGTCATCATGCCTGCGTGTTGTCAGATTGAGAGTCACGTGTGATAGACCGTCAAGGCTGAGGAGGGAAAAACCATACCTATTGCTACCGTATTCTCGATACCTCGGGGTACGATTAGATCGGCAATTTCTCGCTGCGGTTGCACGTATTTGTAGAAGTTGGGCTTGACCCATTTGAACCATTGTTTGATACAGCCTTCGATATCTCGTCCACGTTCCTTTACATCTCGGACCACTAGTCCTACTATCAGTAGTGTGGACTTACTAACTCAGTGAAGATCTTCAGCTCAAGACTTACGACGCCGTGAAAGACAGAGGTCAGCGTCAGCCTCTGCGAAAACTTTCATGTCCAGCATGTCCAGTACCCGCTGGTCGTGTAGGGCGAATATACCTTCGAGAATCAGTACAGATGGAGAATATATCGTGTTCGTCTCAGGCTCGCGATTATGTTTCGCGAAGGAGTAAATTGGCATCTCAGCCTTCTTCCTGTATCTTGTTAAGATAACAAATGGAGTTAGTGAAGCATCCAACCTACCCAGTCTTCAAATCCTGCAATTTCTCAACCAAAATATCAAAATCTATGGCTTCCGGCGAGTCAAAGTCATATTCGTTCTTGAATGCTAGTACCGATTGATCTTTCGTCAAAGGCTTGTAAAATGAATCCTGCCCAAAGTTATTTGCTGTTCCTGAATCGGATGTGGACCCTGTTGTGTACCATGGAGATGATGATGACCCATGGCAGATTCAATGCCTCTCTGATTGCTAATGCAAGAGATGTTTTCCCAGAACCTGAACTGCCCGCTACGCCTATAATGCTTGTGTTCTCCCATGGTGGGCTGTATTTCTCTGATGGCATACTGGAAACATGCGAGTGGAGGAATGATAGAATGAACGTAGTAAGAGATCAAATCATGACTACAAGGATATCTCTATATGTACAGAGGAGATTGATACTTCAGATGAATGAGCAGCGAAAGGATCATTATGTAATTATCCTTACCGTAAAATTCTCGAACATCGTTTGTGGTTCCATAAAAGACGCACGGGGATGGAATTGAGATGCCAAGACACTTATGCTCATACGTCCTAGCACGGATGATTAGCTCGAGGGCTAATTAGGTATTAGCGGACGGGCTTCGGCGATACATAAGTCCCTTCGCAGCTACAGCTTCTGCCCACACACGTCCGTATCCCATTTTTCACCATCGCGTCCCACGTCCATAACAACTTGGGTTCCTTTTTGCAACGTTGAAGCTCCACCAATGTGAGGCAGCTGGCTCTACCTTACGCCTTCACCATGGTACACTCTTGTTTTGCCTTCGCGTGGTCAGCAGCAATTCGTTAACGCTGCTCAGAGCTCCTCAACTGTGTCAGGCGGCGACCATGTTCGACATCCATTTGAGACGCGGGTTGAGAATGTGAAGCCATCGAAGACGTAAGTGCCACTTTGTCGCTATCTCTCTTCCCTTCGCATTTCATATGATGTACTCAAAAGTTGGGAATCTCTCCGAAAATTCCATGTGGAGACTTGAACAAACTTACCTCTGACCAACACTTGTTGCTTGAACTCTTCATTCTTTGCTGAGCAGTATCTGACGCATAGTAGCTGACTGGTTTGTCGTAGAGATATCAACCATGTTATCCTGGACTACCTAATCAACGAAGGCTACCCGTCAGCAGCCGAAAATTTTGCCAAGGAGGCCAATATCCAAGAAGCCAACACTCAGCCACCAACCGAGGAAGACTCACTACGGGCACGCGTTGAAATACGCTATGCTATATATCATGGTGATATAGAATCGGCTATCAAGAAGATCAACGAATTCAATACTGAGGTATGTGTATACAACCGTTTTCTTCACTTCTCGATATGATTATTTGTTTTCATGCACCACTCATAGCTTCGGCTTTGATGATATACAACACCTATACTTCAGTTCTCAATATGAGCTCAATGACCTATCACTATCTTTCCTCGTATACATGTCATTACCAGCAGTCTAATATGTGAGACTCACCAGATCCTGGACAAAGATCCCGCCCTCCACTTTGCACTTCTCCGCCTACAACTTATCGGGCTGATTCGCACATGTACGGCCACACCAAACGCCGATATCATGCCTGCCATAGAGTTTGCATCCAGTGAGCTTGCCCCTCGAGCACCCACAAAGAGCGAGTTCCTCGATGATCTTGAGCAGACCATGGCGCTCCTGATTTTCCCGAAGGGTGATCTCTCAGAGGAACTCAATCGGCTTCTCGAACCCGGCATGCGACAGGACGTTGCTACGATGGTGAACGAGGCCATACTTGCGTCTCATGGCGCAAGACGGGAGGCGCGGATTAGGAACCTAGTAAAACTCCGAGCATGGGCTGAAACTACTGCCCGTGAAGAGAAGAAGGAGATTCCCTCACGCATCCCGTTGGGCCTCGATACGGAAGATGCCGAAAATGGGGACGAGGATGAATCGATGAATGGGGCAGGTGATGGGGATGCTATGGTGACATGATTATGCGTATTGTGAACGAACGAGGTGGGGTCTGGCTGGGGGAGTTCTGGGTGAAAGAGATATGCGCAGGCGCATATTTTCCAGGAAGTTCACGGAGCGAGTAAATGTTTGATACCAGTTTAATGATACCAGAAATGACGACTACACAGGAGTGTTTGGGCGAGACTCGGACAAGAATAGCATCAGGACACATTAGCCTTGAAGCACACAAGCCGTCTGATTTAAATAATTTTTCTGACTTGTCTATTACAACGTTTTCTAACCTCTCTCCCGCCCATCCTCATTCTAGCACTTTGGAACCCTGAAGACTCAACTTGTGTCGTCGGTTTCTCCAGTACTATTGTGTCCTCGGTCTCTTCAGTACTATTGTGTCCTCTGTCTCTGTCGCACTGTTGTGACCTCTGTCTCTCTAGTACTATTGTGTCCTCCCTCTCTAGTACCATCTCACATGGCCTGACCCAGCCACCACATCTCCAAAGCCTACTCCAACCAATGCGGTCATGACATCCAACCAAGCACATATATGATCCGAACGACAGTTTCCCAAGGTCTGCCGGAAGCAGATAGACCGCCTAATGTCAGACGATATGAAGGGGCCCATCGGAGCGTGAATAAAAAAAAAGCAAAAAGAAGAATCAAAAGACGCCAACCCCCCAACAAAAAAAAGAAGAGGGAAAAGGGGATCATCAAGACGCAAAGTACTTGGGGAATACATGAATTGAGAAAAAAAATGAAGCATAAGACGAAGTGGACGAGCAAAAAAAGGGGAGATGAGAATGCAACGAACGGAGTGGTATCTTGGTGCATTAGCGGAACGATGGGGGTTATGGTGCGGTGTAGTAAGTATGAAGTGATTAGTGCGTGTGTTAGTAGTGATGTCGGGGCTGTGGTGCTCGTGCGAGGGAGGGGGTGCGGAACAAGGGGGAGTGAAAGTGTCTCTTTAAAAAAAAATCGCGCTGGTCGTCCGCGTCGGCGCAAACTACAGGAAATATGGAATTGCGGCGCCGATGGCAAGTGTCAACCCGGCTCCGATGAGTGCTCTGGTCCGCACTGTCTCGCGTTTCGTCGGCTGTGTCTTGCTCTTCTTGGTAGCGCCCTGTGTGGACGGCTCGCTGGGCTTTGCGGCGCCAGATGCTTCGGCGAGCTGGTCGTCGGCCTCGACCTCCGTGGCCTTGCGCTTCCGCGTAGGTTTGATGCCGTTTGTAGCAGCAGATTTAGCGTCTTCTGCGGTGGCTTTCTCAACGATTGCTTTTGCAGCTGCCATCATGTCTTCGGTGTTTTCGGGCAGTGGCAGGTCTGGGTGGCCGGCGGGCATGTCAATTACGACAGAGGTCTTTGTGATTTCCTTGTCGCCTTCTTTGGTCACGACTTCGTCGATGTTGACTTTTACGGATTCAGCGACGCCATTGACAGGGCCGCCGTCGACTGAGTCGGTGGCAGAAGTGCCATTTTCGATGGCGCTTTGCAGAACAGAGCTCGCTACGCTGGCGGCGTCGTCTTCGGCCTTCTTCCGACGGGATGTGCGCGGCTTGCGTGGTGAGGCCATCTTGCGTACTGGAGTGGCAATTTTTGAGGGAGACGCGGAACGCGTGGACCGCTTGCGAGTTGAGCCACGAGTGCTTGAAGCTGGGGGAGGAAGCTTGACGTCCTTGAGAATGAAGCGCGGGGGAGTTGCAATCTCATCCCGTTCAGGAGATTTGGTACCCTTTTCTATCGGTTCAGGGTCAAGGAGTGCGAGGACCCAGTTTGTCATGTTGTACTCTTTGGAAAGCTCGAAGGCATCCTCAGGATGGATCCATACGTTCCCTGCCACCTCCTCGTGGCCGGCAGAGCCTAGTGTCTTGTGGTATGCCCGTTCTGCCTCCTCTTCCTCAACCTTTGCCCATGGGAAAGCGGCTTTGAACATGCCTGTAGCACTAACGTATCCATCACTGCTGCGTCGCTGCTATAGTATAAGCGTCCCTGTGCATCAAACAGGCGGATTGCCGATAGGAATAACGTACCATCAAGAAGTATGATTCAGGCCAGAGGTTGTTGCTCTTTCCTATCGAGAAGATACCGGAGCCTTTCAGGTCCTTGGGAAGCGGCACACGCAGATGGGCGTAGTCAAAAGGACCGAGATTCTCTTGTTTTGAAGCATTTGCGACACCGACCTGACCTGGTTTGGCAGAGAGATTGGTTCGGCCAAGACGACGCCTCTCGATGAGTTGTTCGACTATGAACGAGGTGTTAGCGCGGTTTTCGCAAAAAAAGAAAACGCAGGCCGAACGCAATGGAGCAATAGGCGGCGCGACAGGGACATTGACATACGTGTGGGCGCATGACTCTGATCTACCAACGGGTTGAAAGCCTTTGGCAGCACGCGTGTTGCAGGCATTGTTGAACAATGGATGGTGGTGATAATGGACGTGGTAGGCGGTGCAGCGGATTAGAGTTGGAGAATGCGACGCCGGCGCGCAAAGGACAAAGCGGGTAGAGGCGAGGGTCCTTGATGCAAATAATAGGCTGGTTGGAGGAAGCAAGCGATGCGACGATCGCGAACCGGCGTGTGCTCGTGATGATGAATACAGAGTTTGAGGCAGAGGAGAGGCGTAGATGAGGGAAGGATGGAAGGTTGGGCTGGAGAGAGAGAGAGAGAGAGAGAGGGAGAGACAAACAAGCAGACAGAGACAGACAGACAGACTGGTGCGGGTGCGGGTGCGGATGCGAGGGCGGCTTCAGGCTCAGGCTAGGCGATTTGGGGGGGACGGACAGCTCAAAGTCTGGAGGGCAGCTCAGCCAGACTGCGCCAAGTGATGCATCCATCCAGTACGTACTGTACCTTGCCTATTGAGGTATGGAGGGTAGGGACATTAATAGGTAGGTGTAGGTATTCCTTAATAGTTTAACTAATTAATAGCCAGCTAACAACAGTTAATAGCTATGGTACCTGACCTCTCTGCCTTCATTACCTGGTATGTACTGACTGTAGTAGCGACCTCGACCAGCTGCGTGGGCACCTCCCCAGGCACCTCCCCAGCTAATTAGCTGCCTCCCCCACTAATTAGCTGCCTCCCCAGCTAAATTAGCCTCCCTCCAAGAGTCCGAGGCAGTAATTATGGCCACCAGCGATTGATTAGTGCCCTCCGCCCTCTGCCCTCTGCCCTCTGCCCAAACAACAAAACGCCCCTACTTCGCCTTCTTCCCCTGAATTCTCCCCCCTCTAGGCCCGCCATTATGCCGTAGTAGGTATTGGCTGCTATTTGTTAGCCCCAGCCACCAGCCACCAGCCACCAGCCACCAGCCACTTCCACACCTCCCACGCACATCACATCACCATACTCAAGAAACACATATTGCACAGTAACAGACTCTCATTCTCATGCATCCAGCCTTGAGTAGAGGCGGTGAGACCTCCGTGTGGTGTGCCCACTATAGGGTTACGCACCATCATCAATAATTAGTAGGTGATTAACGTTGCTCATGTCATGCATGGATGGATCCATCCCACCTCTGCCAGTGCCCCGCCATCCACAACATCCAATCCATCCTCCACCTCACTCGTTGTGCTGCTCAGTGTCGTGCTCCTACGCCGCCTCAACCTCCATCCTCCAATTTTCTTCCTTCATTCTATTCTTGCCCTTCTTCCACTTTCCACCACCTCTTCCCACTCCTCCACCCTGCCAATTCTTCCCTACGTCCTGCTGTCGACATGTCCGCCGCTCATCACGACGACGAGCTTGTCCCCGAGCAGACTGCCGGCTTCAAGGTCGGCGAATCAAAGACCATCGACGAGTACAAACAACTAGGTAAGCTCTTCCCAATCCACTTCCACTTCTTCCACTCTTCTTTCCCCTTACCAAACTACAACTCCCGCGATACAATCAACCCTTGTCCTATTTCCACCACGCCATCGCCCCGCGCCTGAGGTCCGTCCAGTGTTACCGGCTAAAGATCAATCTTTGGGGAATCTGCTACTTGGACGCCTCAGCAACCCACCTGCATATAACGCGATCCATACCTACCTTACAACAAAAACAAAAGATCCAACAAAGTAAGAGGTAGCAAGTCGCGCTCAACATCACTCGCCATGGCTCGCGACTACCTTGCCTACTGCGTATCTCGCGCCCGCCACTGTTCGCATCTCTCTGCTTCGTTCCGCCCGTGAGATCCATTCTTAGAGAACATCCTTCACTTCATCGATTTGGATCACATCTACCTCCATCATATCGCTTCAGCCGACTTGAGACCAGAGAGCACCTATATTCTTTTCACAATAATACAATACTTGCTACAAACATCCATCCCACTCGCTTCCATATGGCAGACTATCCTAGTCCGTCACATCATAGGGACAGTGCCTACACTCGAGGACACAGTTTGGATGCTTCCAAACAAGGCAGCTTCGGTATCGATGACACTCTATCCCATACCGCTCGCATCGCCGGCGAACCCTCCAGCCTTTCGTCTCCACCCGTGGGCTCCAGGGAGGAGCAGATCGACGAGATCCAAACATCTCCGCCCGAGCCAAACCTTGAAAGTGCATCTGCGACAGACTTAGATCCGATTGGAATGGATCATGTTCGCACACTTAGACAACTGTTTGCATACCATCCAATAGCATTGCCTTCTATCCCGAAGCCAAAAGATACAGACTATCAGCATTGTTCTGTTGGTCATTACATAGCTTGGACTGAAGACTGGTCCAGCATTCCCATGAAATACATAGAGAATCGCATGAAACCCTGGATGTATCCGACACGTCGACTCCTTGCTCACCGAATGTCACCGCTAATCAAGGACCTCGTGCAGCCCACCTGCAGATCTGGCTGGGATGCTTTTCGAAAGGGGAAGGCTATGATAACTGTCGAGCATGCCAAAACTATCATTTTCACCGCAACCGTCATCTTGGCAGTTCCGACAGTCGCATTTCTTCGACCCGCACCTGAAGTCGATGCGCCCGTCTTTGGGCATCATGTCTTCGAGAAGTCCGCCGACGGAACGATCAGGATAATCCTTGGTAACTGTCCAGAATGCTGTATGCCTGAAGCTCTTGACGTGGTCGACTTGGGTGGCAGGTGGTGGGGATATGGATGCGTGTACCACCTCCTTGTGTGTGAAAGCCACTGGGCCGACTTTGCAGGTTACCGTCGTGAAGGGTATATCGAGAAACCGGCCAGGAGATTCATCAGCAGCGTCCCGCCCATGCACCTTGTATTGCTTGGTCCAAAGCCCTACCAGAACAGGATTCCTTATTATCGCAACAAATGGAGACGACTAACCAGATCCCTTAGACCAAAACGACGAATCTCTTAGGAAGTGGAAGGAGAGTCTCGGCCTAGGAGCGGGTAACACCATCTCTGATCCCAATGATCCGCGTAAGGTCATAATCGAGTCCCTTGGGCTGGAGGCAAGCCATCAAAGATCGAGGCGCACATGACTCAAGACTAATCAGTCCTAGGTCGAAGGACGCGACGACATCATCATCGACCTGAAGTCACCGGGCGCAGTTGAGCATCTCAAGGAGAAGCCCTTCACCATCAAAGAAGGCGCAAAGTTTCGTATGAAGGCGCAGTTCAAGGTTCAGCATCAGATTCTGTCAGGCTTGAAATACGTTCAAGTGGTCAAGCGTGGTATCATCAGTAACAAGGCCCAAGAGATGATTGTATACTCGGTCTTTTCATCGCTCATCGACTTCTCGCTAATGTGCTGCTCTAGGGATCGTACAGCCCCAACACGACTGATAAGCCAAGCTATGAGAAGAAGTGTATGTCATTACACTCCTTGCCGTGCCTACAAATCCTCTAACAAATGCCTAGTCGAAGCCGAGACTGCTCCTTCTGGTATGATGGCACGTGGTCATTACAATGCTGTCTCCAAGTTCATCGACGACGACAATGTTACTCATTTGAAGCTCGAGTGGTCCTTTGATCTCAAGAAGGACTGGTAGTGCAACACATTCCACCCTCTCAATCTGCGATGCAACTCCTCCGTCAGTGGCGTCTGTAATTCTTTTATGCGGTTTGATCCATTAGCTTATCCCACATAGCGAATCTCACGACTTACATTTTATTGACTGAAAACTAAGCTGCGCGTTGGGCTTGCCGAAGACTGTCGTTGATATAGCAAAAACGATACAACTCATCACATCTCTGTGCAGTGATCTCCAGATGACGGCAATCTGTTCTCATAATCCCGCACTCTCCTTTTGTAGTCCTCGTCTTGCTTTAAGAAGACTGCCCTCGTCGCCATGATACCAATAAGCACTCCCGTCCCAGATCATTCCAGCAGAGATGAATGATGTTTAAGGGGAGACTTGAGGTATTCGAGAAAGTGATTGAGTAGATGGTAGACCTAAATGAGCAAGCTGAGCACCTCCAGGGCTGGGCATCCATGGGTGATGCCTTGACCTAATTACCTACAGTACCTGTGTTGACCCCGCCAACACTAAGCCAGAAAAACATTAGTGTGTTTGGAGGGGCGCGTCCACGGATCACCCCCCTTGCGCGCGATTTCCTCACCTTCAATTCATGAACTGTCCCGCACACCGCCAGAATCTCTTTTGCATTGCCTCTCATACCGCACCAAATCAACAAAACACGCACTGATCTGATCCATTGGACGCAAGCATGGCAGACTACTCCAACGAAGCAGCCTCTGGCGACTCAGCGGCCACTGAAAACAAAGGCAAAGGAAAAGCTGCCGATACAGCTCAAGACATGAGTATGGACGAGGACGATGATGGCTCTGATGAGGAGTCGGGAGTTGAGGCTGAGGTATGCCACCAGCTGCTCTTGTACGAGTGCAGCATCCGTTAACGTAGAGACAGGCCGAAGAGCGTATGTGGCAATACTCTGAACGAAGACGATTCATCAAGCACACAATACTGACACATCGTACAGCCGAAGAGGAAGATGAGGACAACATGGAGGAGATTGACACAAATAACATCATCGGCAGCGGCCGACGTACGCGTGGCAAGAACATTGACTTCGCAACCGCCGCCCAGAATGCAGAGGGTCTGGACGACGATGAGGACGACGATGACGACTTTGAAGAGCCCCAGGAGGATGACGCCATGGAGCACTAATAAGTGTGGAAGACGTCAAAATGTAAGTGATTTGCAGCAGTCTCTACAGACTTTGGAGGAAGCTGAGAATGCATACTTGGGCCGACCAGATTGTTGACATATTGCAGTTGCGCTCTGCCTACCGGACTATTGTCAAAACTTACATATCGGGTATGTGCTATTTTACCGGCTTCTGGGTAGAAAAGACACGCGCATGGTACCAGGGCAGGAATTGGAGTTTAGTCATTCATGTCATTCATCGACTCTTTAGACAGCTGACCCTGTTTGGGCTCGCAATAACCGACATCCATCATTCATCAAGATGCAGAGAGAGGCATCTCATATACAAAATAAAAACTGCATACCTACCAGATCTGAATACAATTGCTGAGTTTGAATGAATCAGAGTCATGTTTTCAGTGCAAACGCCTTACAGGGTCGATCTCTCCCCCACATGAGGCTGGTGCCAACTTGTACGTCGGCGCAGGCGTATTTCTCCCGATGAGGCATGTTCAAGAGATGCAAGTGAGCGAGCAACGCTGTCGAGCAAGCCTTCTAAGCACGTGTCGCGGATTGCGTACATGGCAAATGAACGTGTGGCAATGCGGGGAACTCTACGAGCCACGAGCTTGGAGTGCTGGCAGGTACCGCTAATAACACAAGACCGTGAACTTGCCCTCCAGAGCAAGAGGAGAGACCGAGAATATGTAATTATACCTAAACTCGGGCTGCAACATTGTATCACGGTTGAATCTAGGCTGCGCAACAGGTGCCAGGCGGGTAGGGCCCGATGTTGGTCCCATCAGATCTGACGTACGCCATTCCCACAGCCATGTTCTCGGTCCGTGGCAGACATGAGATGATTGGGGATGGTCCTATGTTGTGCCGTCGCTCACTTGAAACTCAACATTCTCGGCACGTTGATGAAAGGAGCATCCATTGATTTTAAGGCACAAAAGGGGTCCACACACAAGCGATGTCGGAGAGTGGAGGGGCCTGGATGGCACTGGAAAGCAGTTCTCGTGACTCACAAAAATTCGAAAAATGATGAGTAAGTTCCGTAAACGCCCGAGAGGCACTGCAGTTGGCAGCAAAGACGAAGCGCGCGGCGCGGCGGGCTCCGACTCCGAGATATCCTCGTCCACACACACTCCACACTCGACTGTGGATGTCCGAGTCGCCGATTGCATGCAAGATGTAATTACGTGCACGTTATTATGAGCCCACAGTAAACGTGAGATAGACTCGGAGGCGCGTGTTCATAGTCGAGCTATGGATTCAATGTGACTACAGAAGACCAACCAAGCAGTCGTTTTGGTTGCGGGCGACGACCAAGATATAAGAATGATTTGGCATGTATTTGTAGCAGTCCCGGAGGAGGTTGAGAGAGGGAGTAGTAATTGACTAGCAGCGATAAGCATCATAGGTCAAATGTCAATAGATGACTGTACCGAATTAGCTAGGGAAATCAATTATAGCCAATTGCGGGAAACAGAAGCGGATTAGGAAACGGGCGTGGGCTGATTCGTCGACAGATGAAGAAGAAGGCTTTAATCGTCCTACCTACCCTTGGTACTAGGTCAAATCACATACATAAGAGTACTAATTACTATGCACATGCACATGCACATCCACAGCAGTACTAAATATTTTTGCGTGCGTGAGGTGTGCGTGTGTGTGTTGGTGCGTCGACTGGGGGCATTGAATATAAGTGGGGTCTGGGTGGGTCTCGGATCGTGAAAAACATGCAGTCCAACCCAAGTAGTACCAGTGCACGTCCCTACGAACCGTGGGGTACTGCACTGCTCCTCATCGAGTTTGGCCGCGGCTCGTCAAGACACACAATCTTGACATATTAGTATGGTTGTGCCCATCATTGACGTTGACCATTACCATTAATTATTCGTCCGCCATCCATCCTTTCACTTGTACTTGCCACCAACGACGACCATGTTCCACTGGGTCCTCCCCACTCCCTCCTCCTAGCCAGATTCTTCCGTCCGCTGTCCGCTGTCCGCTGTCGGCGTCGTGGCCAAGACCTGATGATCTTGAGGGAAGAAGACGTGGGCGATAGCTGTTGCACATCTGCGAATCTGTGTCGACCTCCAAGATGTTATGAGTAATTGTATCAATTATGCCTACTGCGAGTGGAGCCATGTACTGTTATGGAGTATTATCTGCTTCGAGGCGCGGGGAAGGGGGGGGGGAGGGGGGCCAGCCGATGGTGTGTATCTTGGGATCGCTAGAACTAGATGAAATATCGCCTAAACCAGATCACCCATTGTACACAATCCATCAGAGACATGGATGGTGGCAGTTTTGCTGGAGACTGGAGTTTTGGCTATGCAACGGTCTGTGGACACGATACTCCTACTACTGTTACTACTGCTAGGTGTGGCCTGCCGGCACATAAATTCTACCACATCCCCCCCACAAACATCTCCCTCTTTCCGCTGCTTTTCTCATCACGCACCACGTCTCCGAGACTATTTACCCTATCACCTAGATTTCGTGCCCTTCCACCACTACGACCCCGTCGCGAGCCTATTGAACGGCCACGAAGTCACGACAGACAGTAAGTGTGACATTCCCCTTCCTTTCCCCGCCCGGCATCCGTCCGTGAAAGACCGCCCAAGATGAGAGATCAAGAAGAGCACACACAATGTCACTTTTGCCATGCCAAAACCCATCGTCCGTCAGTAGTAGCAGCAGCAGCAGCAGCAGGGCAGCCAGACATGATGCAAGCATGCAGTGCAGTGCATGGCGTGGTCGGCACGGCGCTGTATCGACAAACCCGGCTACATGTCATTCGCCGAAGCTCTCAAACCGATAAGAGCTCCAAAGGTCGTACGCCAACAAATAATATTGGTAGATGCTCTTGGGGCCAGCGTCATATGCATCTGCTGCAGCGATCGCATACATCGCATGTCCGCGGATCTGCACACCGGCTGCCAGCAAAATAAAAGCGGTGCCTACGTTGCGACAAGACAGGACAGGGACAGGCTATCACCGACAGACTCTCAACTAATGGTCAATGGATGGAGCCTCCGACTCTGGTCTGGGCGCGCTTGAGAAGGGCGGGCATGGTGGGCGTAGATGCTTGCTCTCCGCTACCGCTCCCGCTCCCAACCAATCCGCGTCAAGCTATTCATCAACAATTCCCCGCTTGCCATACTTCCCTTTCCACTACTCTCGGCACCAGTCTGCCATTTTTTCCTCCCTGCTCACTCTCTCTCTCTCTGCAAACCTTTGTAATACCCGGTATCTGACCAAGAATTCTCTGCACAGCTACAACATCAATACACTCTCAAGCCAGACGAACACCCCCAACCTATTGGCCATCCGCGGCCATCTCCTCATACATTCTCTCTTCTCAGTTGCTCGCCACCGTCACCCAATCTGATCGTTCGGCCTATTCGCCGGAAGTATGGGTCGAGTTTCATTCAAAGAAGAACCAAAAATATGCGCTTCTGAAATTGAGGAGGAACCTTCGAAGGTGTACGAGTACCAGGATACTCCAGAGAACAAATCATGGGCTGGAACATTGCCCTTGAAGCAGGGTCTCTATGATCCAGATCTTGAGAAAGATGCTTGTGGAGTAGGCTTTGCTGCGTGAGTTCTCAGCCATGTCTTCCAGTAGTAGTCTTCACAGATCCCTGACACTGATCACAGCCATATCAAGGGTAAAGCGAGCCACAAGATTGTCAGTGATGGTAAGATACATTCCGCGTCTACCCTTTCGTAAACGGTTCGCACTCACGTGCTGATCTTCCTGTGCAGCTCGCAGTTTACTTTGCAACATGACCCATCGTGGCGCTGTCGGCTCTGACGCTAGAGATGGCGACGGCGCTGGAGTCATGACGTCGATCCCTCACAAGTTCTTCGTGAAGAATTTCGAGCGCGAGCAGGGCATCAAGCTGCCCAAACAAGGCCAGTATGCCGCCGGCAATCTATTCTTCAAACCGGACACAGAGATACTGAAAGACACAATCGCTACATTTGAGGATGTGGCCGACTCGCTAGATCTGCGTGTGCTAGGATGGCGAGAAGTGCCACGAGACTCAACGCTACTGGGGCCGGCAGCTCTGTCGCGTGAGCCTATTGTTCTGCAGCCTTTTGTGGTCCTCAAGACTGCTTATGGCGAGGGAAAATCGCCACTGGAGAGCTTTGAAGAAAAGTATGACGAGCCGTACTTTGAGAGGCAACTGTACGTTCTACGAAAGCGGGCGACGCATGTCATTGGTCTGCACAACTGGTTTTACTTGTGTTCTTTGAGCAATAAGAACATCGTTTACAAGGGCCAACTGGCTCCCGTGCAAGTCTACGAGTATTACCATGATTTGGTAAACGTAGATTATGAAGGTCACTTCGCCTTGGTACATTCCCGATTCTCCACCAACACGTTCCCTAGCTGGGACAGAGCGCAACCGCTCCGGTGGGCGGCCCACAACGGTGAGATCAACACCCTGCGAGGTAACAAGAATTGGATGCGTGCAAGAGAAGGTGTCATGAAATCTGATCTCTTTGGTGATGAGCTCGATCTCCTCTATCCTATCATTGAAGACGGTGGCTCTGATTCGGCCGCCTTCGACAATGTCCTCGAACTCCTCGTTATTAATGGTGTCCTTTCCCTACCCGAAGCAGTCATGCTCATGGTTCCAGAAGCCTGGCAAGGTAATGATTCTATTGACCCTGCTAAGCAAGCTTTCTACGAGTGGGCTTCGTGTATGATGGAGCCATGGGATGGCCCTGCCCTGTTCACCTTTGCAGATGGTCGTTACTGCGGTGCTAACCTTGATCGAAATGGTCTACGTCCATGCCGTTACTACGTTACTGATGATGATCGCATCATTTGTGCCTCTGAAGTAGGTACAATCGCCGTCGACCCCGAACGCATCGTACAGAAGGGCAGACTTCAGCCTGGAAGGATGTTGCTTGTAGATACTGTTGCTGGCCGTATCGTCGATGATGCTGAACTGAAAGAATCTGTTGCAAATCGCCAGAATTTTGGTGCGTGGGTTGAAAAGAACTTGATCTCAATGGATGGCGTAGTTGCAGACATCACAAAATCCGGCACATCTATTGCTCACAAGATCACTGAAACCAAGCTCCAAGAAGACCCGAGACTAAGAGCTTTCGGTTACTCCCTTGAACAGATCAGTTTGTTGCTTGGTCCAATGGCTGCTGACTCCAAGGAAGCTCTGGGTTCTATGGGTAATGACGCCCCCTTGGCCTGCCTTGCTGCGCAGCCACGTCTTCTCTACGAATACTTCCGTCAGCTATTCGCACAGGTCACCAACCCTCCTATCGATCCCATTCGTGAAGCCATTGTCATGTCTCTAGAGGCATACGTCGGCCCTCAGGGCAATCTGCTTGAGATGAACGAGAGCCAGTGCTCGCGTCTTCTGTTGCCATCTCCTGTGCTTTCACTTGAAGAGTTCAATGCACTCACGAACATCTCCAAGGTCCAGTCGGCCTGGTCTGTCCAGACTATCGATATCACATTCCCCAAAGAGCAGGGTGTACAAGGATATATGGATGCCTTGGATACCATCTGCGACCGAGTGACTGACGCCATCAACAGCCACAAGAGTATTATCGTGCTCTCTGACCGTGCCACCTCTGTCGATCGTGTGGCAGTCTCCGCTCTTCTCGCTACTGGTATGGTACACCATCACCTCGTGCGCAACAGGTGGCGATCTCAAGCAGCCCTCATTATCGAGACTGCCGAAGCTCGTGAGGTGCATCACATGTGTGTCCTTATTGGGTACGGAGCTGATGCTGTCTGTCCATATCTTGCCATCGAATGTATTTTGAAGATGCACCGAGAAGGCCTCATCCGCAAGAAGCTCGAACCAGAGCAGCTCGTTGAGAATTACAAACACTCGTGTGACGGTGGGATCCTGAAGGTCATGAGTAAGATGGGTATCTCTACACTCCAGAGTTATAAAGGAGCGCAGATCTTCGAGGCTCTGGGTATCGATGACTCGGTCGTCGACCGATGCTTCACCGGCACCGCCAGTCGTATCAAGGGTATGACTTTCGAGCTCATTGCCCAAGACGCATTCGCCCTCCACGAGAAGGGCTATCCGTCCAAGTCTATCGTTGAGATTCCGGGCCTGGCCGAGACTGGCGAGTACCACTGGAGAGACGGCGGTGAACCTCACGTCAACGACCCAACTGCCATTGCAAACATACAGGATGCCGTACGCTCCAAGAACGACAAGTCATATGAGGCATACTCGATCGCTGAGTACGAGCGAATCAAAGACTGTACGCTTCGCGGTCTTCTCGACTTTGACTTTGAAGATCGTGCCGCTGTACCTATCGAGCAAGTCGAACCCTGGACTGAAATTGTTCGCCGGTTCGTCACTGGTGCCATGTCATACGGCTCAATCTCCATGGAGTCCCATTCGACCTTAGCTGTGGCTATGAACCGTCTCGGAGGCAAATCCAACACCGGCGAGGGTGGTGAAGACGCGGAACGTAGCTTGCGGATGGAGAATGGCGACACGATGCGTTCGGCCATCAAGCAGATCGCGTCTGGTCGTTTCGGTGTTACCAGTAACTATCTTGCCGATGCTGATGAACTTCAAATCAAGATGGCACAGGGCGCTAAACCGGGTGAGGGTGGTGAGCTTCCTGGCCATAAGGTTTCCGGTCCCATTGCGAAGACGCGTCACTCCACTCCTGGCGTGGGTCTGATCTCACCGCCACCACATCACGACATCTACTCGATTGAAGATCTGAAGCAGCTTATCTATGACCTAAAGTGCTCTAATCCCCGGTCTCGTGTGTCTGTCAAGCTTGTGTCCGAGACTGGTGTTGGTATTGTCGCATCGGGTGTTGCCAAGGCCAAGGCCGACCACATTCTCATTTCTGGTCACGATGGTGGTACCGGCGCTTCGAGATGGACAGGTATCAAGTATGCCGGTCTACCTTGGGAGCTTGGTCTTGCGGAAACTCATCAAACTCTTGTGCTGAACGATCTGCGTGGTCGTGTTATTGTTCAGACAGACGGCCAGCTCCGCACCGGTCGTGACGTTGCTCTTGCCTGCCTGCTTGGTGCCGAGGAATGGGGCTTTGCCACTACACCATTGATCGCTATGGGCTGTATCATGATGCGTAAATGGTAAGATTCGTATACGAGCGTGCACATTGATAAATACTGACACAGTACAGCCATTTGAACACATGCCCCGTTGGTATTGCTACTCAGGATCCTGAACTGCGCAAGAAGTTCACTGGTACCCCGGAGCATGTCATCAACTTCTTCTACTACGTTGCCAATGAACTCCGAGCTATCATGGCTAAGCTTGGCTTTCGCACCGTCAACGAGATGGTTGGTCGCTGCGACGTGCTACGCGTCAGAGATGACCTTCGCACAGCCAAGACCGAGAACATTGATCTCTCTCTCATCCTCACTCCTGCACACACTCTCCGACCAGGTGTTGCCACGTACAACGTTCGCAAGCAGGACCACAAGCTACACATCCGCCTCGATAACAAGTTGATTGCCGAGTCCGAGCTCGCACTTGAGAAAGGTTTACCAGTCCGCATCGAATGTGACGTCGTCAACACCGACCGCGCCCTGGGGGCGACTCTATCTTACCAGATTAGCAGACGCTATGGTGAAGCTGGTCTACCGCAGGATACTATTCATGCAAACATCAGGGGCTCGGCCGGCCAGTCGTTCGGTGCGTACTTGGCACCTGGTGTGACTCTAGAGCTAGAGGGTGACGCCAATGACTACGTTGGCAAAGGCCTGTCCGGTGGTAGGCTCATTGTTTACCCACCCAGATCTGCTGTGTACAAGGCTGAGGAGAATGTACTCATCGGAAACGTGTGTCTATACGGCGCGACCAGCGGAACGTGTTTCTTCCGCGGAGTCGCGGCTGAGCGTTTCGCCGTGCGCAACTCTGGCGTGACAGCGGTCGTTGAAGGAGTTGGTGATCACGGTTGCGAGTACATGACCGGCGGTCGCGTACTTGTCCTTGGCTCTACCGGACGCAACTTTGCTGCTGGTATGTCGGGTGGTATCGCCTATGTTCTCGACATGCACCACGACTTCGAGGGCAAAGTCAATCAGGAGATGGTTGAGCTTTCAAGTCTGGAGGATCCAACGGAGATTGCATTTCTGCGTGGTCTGGTCGAGGATCACCATCACTACACTGGATCTGAGCTTGCTGCACGCATCCTTCTTGACTTCACAAGAGCCCTACCTCGCTTTGTTAAGGTGTTGCCTACCGACTACAAGCGTGTCATGGAAGAGGAGGCTAAGAAGGCTGAAGAGGCAAGAAAGGCCGCTTATCCTTTGCCAATCTTACCTGGTAACAAGGTACGTGAGATTCATCAAGAATCTCGTGACAAGGAACACGCCGCTCAAGAAAAAGAGAAGAAGAAGAATGACCTCTTGGACATTGAAGAGAGCGTTGGGGATGCCAAGGCGGAGAAGAAGCGATCGGCCCTCGTCTTGGACAAGACGCGTGGCTTTATGAAATACCACCGCCGCTCTGAGAAGTACCGTAACCCGAAGACTCGGACACGCGACTGGCAGGAGCTTTCAAGCCGTCTAAATATGGATGAGCTCAAGTACCAGACTGCCCGATGCATGGACTGTGGCGTCCCGTTCTGCCAGTCTGACTCCGGCTGTCCCATTAGCAACATCATTCCGAAATGGAACGAATTAGTGTTCCAAAACCAATGGAGGGATGCTCTCAATCGTTTGCTTATGACAAATAACTTTCCGGAATTTACTGGTCGTGTTTGTCCAGCTCCTTGCGAGGGTGCTTGCGTTCTTGGCATCAACGAAGATCCAGTCGGCATCAAGTCTATCGAATGCGCCATCATCGACCGAGGTTTCGAAATGGGATGGATGGTACCTACACCCCCCAAATACCGCAGTGGTCAGAAAGTCGCAATTATTGGCTCCGGTCCTGCCGGTCTTGCCTGCGCTGACCAGCTCAACAAAGCTGGCCATTTGGTCACCGTTTACGAGCGGTCTGACCGCGTTGGTGGCCTACTCATGTACGGCATTCCCAACATGAAGCTCGACAAGAAGGTTGTGCAGCGCCGCGTAGATTTCTTAGCCGACGAAGGCGTAACTTTCGTCACTGGAGTCTTTGTAGGTGAGGGAGATATCACTCTTGACTCGTTGCGCGAGGAGAATGATGCAGTCGTCATTGCAACTGGCGCGACTGTTGCCCGCGATCTCCCAATTCCAAACCGAAACCTTGAGGGCATCCACTATGCCATGCAGTTCCTTCACAAAAACACCAAGTCTCTCCTCGACTCTGAGCTGGCCGATGGAGAGTACATCTCCGCCAAGGACAAGCACGTTGTTGTTATCGGTGGTGGTGATACCGGTAATGACTGTATTGGTACATCTGTTCGACACGGTGCTAAGTCAGTCACCAATTTTGAGCTACTTCCGCAGCCTCCAAACGAACGTGCTCGCGACAACCCATGGCCGCAATGGCCACGTATCTACCGTGTCGACTACGGCCACACAGAAGTCAAGACCCACATGGGCAAGGATCCACGCGAATACTGCGTCATGTCCAAGGAGTTCGTCGATGACGGCTCTGGCAAAGTCAAGGGTATCAACACCATTCGTGTTGAGTGGACTAAGAACTCGTCTGGTGGCTGGGACATGAAACACAAAGAGGGAAGCGAAGAGTTCTTCCCTGCTGAGCTTGTACTCCTATCCATGGGTTTCTTGGGCCCGGAGGACCGTATCTTAGGAGAAAAAATCGAAAAAGATGCGCGCAAGAATGTCAAGACACCCCAGGGAAAATACAACACCAACCTACCGGGTGTCTTTGCCGCTGGTGATTGCCGACGAGGTCAATCACTGATTGTCTGGTATGTTATAATTCGATTCTGTTCTCATGTCACCCACTAAACTCCACAGGGGCATCAACGAAGGTCGCATGGCCGCTCGAGACGTAGATACGTACCTTACCGGCGTTGGAACTCAACTCCCTGTGACCGGCGGTGTCGTGAAGCGCCCACCGTACGAGCTTCTGAAGAAGGCTGAGGGAGCACCCAAAGAGCTTATTACAGCTGCCGCCTAAACGAACCACTCGAAATTACAGAAATCTTTCTGCACATTATTCACACCTTTTGTACAGCTCAACGATAAATACGCGATGCATCTGCGACTCAGGAAGGAATGTGACAATAGCGATGACCGAACGAGCCTTTTTTCAAACCGTCGTCTTTATACCTTGAATTTTTTTTTTCCGAATAGCGACGTCTCTTGCTTTGTATCATGCATGCATATACCCGGAAAGACTGCATTCGATGGACCTTTGTGCTCATATGTTGGCTCTTATACGATTATGGATGGGCACATTGTACATGGAGAACGGGACTCTTCCCTGTAGATCTTTATGAGCTGGTTTATTCTTTTCATCCGCTTCATATACCTATTATGTCATCTAAATTGGCTTTATGAGGGTAGGGCGTTGATTTCACATGCTACCCTTACTTTTGGACTCGATGTGAACCGGGTATGGGTGGAATGGAAAAGGCTACGTAGCCAAGATGTAACTAGCTGAGAGGACAATTTGAAATAAGGTGAATATATACCTGCTGTGTGATGAATGTTGGATTGGTAGTCATAGCTTAGGTACGCGTTTCTATGCTTGCATAAATGCATACATGCAAGGGCCGCTATATATTGCTACTCACCACGAAGTTGGGTTAAGTGCCCTTTGTTTCCAAGTATTTGCAGTACTGCAAAAATTGTACATCTTGTCAATCGTGAACTTGTAAGAAAGAATTTTAACCTGTAGTCACAAAATAACTTGAAACTACTTTATCGACATGCATGAAGTCGTCCGATATGACTATATATATATACATATGCGAATATCTCATCTAAAGGGTCACGGATCAAGACGAGCATGTAGTTTGAGCTTGATTCTGGACATTTGGGCTTGCGATAATATTGATTGTGGGTATAGTATTATGGGGGTATTACATTGGTTGGGAAACATGAAGACTATGGACAATGTCTGTATGTGTGCGTGTGTGTGTATAGGGGCAACTGTTGATACAAGTGATTTCGTGCTGACTGCCTGCACTCGACCGACCCGCTTAATTGTTTCGCCATCTCATCATGGCTCCATCTATCTCTTGACGCCATGCAGTTCCCCCCCCCAAATGAGGTGTCTTCAACATAACGACCAGTGAAAGGAAGAGTGGATGAGGAATATTGTGTAGGGAGTGCTTTGTCGTCGGCAGACAGTTTGCTAGTCTGACTGACTGTCGTGCCGTGATTCAGTGATGTGATATCTTCCCTTGATGATTGTTGTAGTAGGTGAGTCGAAGGTGGGATTGGCGGGATGCTTTGGTCGTGTATCGGTTCGTGGTATAAGGGAGTATCTTTCTCTCTCTCTCTCTCTCTCTCTCTTTCTCTCTCTCTCTCTCTCTCTCTCTCTCTCTCTCTCTCTCTCTCTCTCTCTCTCTCTCTCTCCGTATGTATGTGTGGTTCGTGTATGGAAGGGGCAAAACCTGCTTAGATGACGGTCAGAAAGAACACACAGGAAGATGTTAGGAGTTTGCAATACGCACCACAGGCGCCCCTCCTCTCTGCTCTACTCAGTTTCCATGTCAATGATTTCCGAGCTCAGATAGATGCACACTGCCTTCGCGCCGCTCATGCTCGCTCTCAATCTCCACTCTCGCTGCTCCCCGGATCCGCATTCACCACCCGCAACGGGCCCTGTCGCCGCCAGGGGGCTTGAATTTTCGGTGACGATGACGACGACGACGAAGCACGTGCTCGTCTTAGCAGCCCGCCTCGCCACTGCAGTATCCTCTCGTCCGTGTCTTCATCCGAGTCCTGGTCCGGCGTATAGGCAGCCCGACTAGTGCTCTGGCGGGGAAGGATGCTGGCGTAGGGAGGAGGCGCTGGAGACATAGGCCGCACGTCCTGCAAATCTTCATGGAGTGACGGTGTTGGGGACAGGGGAAATCGGGGGCGAGGCACGGGAAGTGCTGTTGTGGGCTGTTTGAGTGTTGTTTTGGTGTGGCGTGCCCGTGCCTTCCCGCTGTCCGAGAATGAGATGGCAGGTGCTTGTCTGGGGGAGTCGAGAGTTGAGGCGTTTGGATTTGCGGTTGTGTTTGGAGGTTTGTTTTCGGCGTTCTTGGGAGGACTGATCGTCAGATTACGTAGCGCAGAGTTCAAGCATGACTTCCGTGTAGGCTGGATGCGGTCTGGTAGGGGTGGCGGCGTGGAGGGCCTGGGAGTAGACGCTGCTCTGGCAAAGGCAGATGACCGGATGCTTAGTGAGCGTCGCATAGTGTTGTTTTGTGTTGGTTATTGATATTCTACCAACGGAAGAGATGTTGGAAAAAGTGTGTTTGTGCGAACAAGTTTCAAAATTGTGTGGTAGTGATATTGTGAGAACCGCGACGAGATCAAAGAATGGCAGGATTGCGTCTGTACTTATAAGAATCTGTGCTTCTCAACCGCACGCTTCCGAACCCATGCTTCCGAGCGTAGCTAGGGAACCAGACGTTAAAAAACGCGACCCAGAAAGCTGTATTGAGCCGTCTAGAGGCGATCTCGAGAAATTAAACCTTTATCCAACAGTTTTCTCAGAATTAAAGGCACGCGGGCCGTCATATTGATATGAATGCGTCCTATACACACTTGTTTGCGTGTTTACGTACCGGGAAGCGTCGAAAGAAAAGGGGCTCTGATGACTCAGCAGAAGTCTCCAACTTTGGTGTGGGTCGTTACTATGGAAGCATGAGAGTTGGAATAAGGAAGTAGGTCAAAAAGTACGTAGTGTTACTTTCCAGCCATGCTTTGTGGTATATGCGGCGTAGTGTAATGTCGTTCTCCGTACAGAGAGACAACGAAACCGCTCGTATGACGCGTACGGCTCTATACATGCATGCAAAATAGGGAGATGAACTTCGGACATAGAATCTTAGGCCATGTGATGGAACTTTCTGGTGCGGTGGTGATAACATATAAAACTAGAGGTTCTGTCCCATATCGCGGTGACTATGATATGCAACGTCTAAAAGAGCTTGTTGACGGCAGGACCCATATGACGGCGTAGTTTAGATACAGATTCAGCTTTTCAACCAGACCTTGAAGCTTTGGTGATATGTTTCTCATCGAGTGGGAACGAAGTCGGCATTGAGAAGAACCCAGGCAGACTCCACTAGACAGAGTTCTGCAATTTTGCGCTCCTAAATCGCGGCTTAATCCATTGGTTCACAACACGGGAGTTCCATATAAAACGCTTGACCATCGTGAATCCTTGCGAATAGGGCTGTAAGGGAAATGGGGACTTGAAGATGGCACGATGGTACACTCGTTATTCCATCACGATGGATGTGCCTTCACACTTGTCGAAGTAGGCATGTCTTCGATCCACCTATTCGCAAGTTCTTAAAGGATACGTATACGTATCCTCACCTTCATCAGCACACTCGCACAATAAGCACTCCAGTGCAAAGGTCAGTGCAGCTTTCGATAAAACGAGCTACCCAAATACTAGGTACATCATACAGTCAGCCTACACCTCGTCGTCGCTGCTCTCGACGCCCAGTGCCTCCTCGCGCTGCTTTCGCTCCAGCGCATCCTTCCACTGCGCAGCAAACTCACGCAATCCACCACCATCGCTCTGTGCCGTTGCCGCTGCATCGACCACATCACGAGGCAATTTATGCGCGCTATACTGTGGTGAGGAGAAGGCGTAGGCTTCCGGGTCGTCTTTATGCACGAGGCGAAGTTCAGGTGTGAAAATGTCCTCTTCGTCAGAGGAGACGTCAGATCCGGGCTCGATTGGCGTGCCTCTGGAATTGATGGAAGTTCCTGCCATTGATGCAGTCGCGTGACCAATACTTAGCCATATTGTCTGCTCTACCTCCGGCTGCGGCATAGTCAGGATCTCTAGCCAGCTGAATAACAATGGATCTGTCCGGGGCGCCCACGGATTCACGTCGATCAGCCATACGCGGTCCTTTGGTGGGGGCACATACACGTCAAAAACGAAATTCTCGTCTGGAAATGAATCGCGTAGCTTTGTGTCGAAGAACTTCTGAATAATTTCTGTGAATGCTGGCACGTCGGGAAAGAGGTGTTCGAAGTGGTTGAGGTCACGCTGGCACATACAAAGTAACGTGCGGCGGCGTACAAAACAGCGGAACTCAAGCGATGGGTTGATCAGAAAGTACTTGCGGAGTATAAGGTGGTAAGGAATGGTATCGTAAGTGAAGTCCTCCGTGGTCTCATGGCCTGTAGGTGGTGAAGCAGGATCAGTGTCATCAAAAACATTCTCTAGATCATGCGTTACAAAATCACTACTCTTTAGCAGCAGATAGACGTCATTCGGTGTCGTGCACTTCATGCTATTGTCTGCGGCAATCCATGTCGCATCCTTGGGCGCAGACCAGTTGAGCTTCGGCATCACACCCTTCCCTGCAAACTCTTGCAGAGTACTTCGGATGGCGTCATGGACCTGGGGCCATTCTACTGATGGGTCGTCATCATCGGCGGCATCGTCAGTTTGCGCGTCGTCATTCTCTGCAGACGAAAAGATCCCGCTGTCTGTGTCAGACCACGCATTTCGCTGCTGAGAGGATTCGTCAGGTGGTAAGAAAATACCATCGGCACGGAGATAGTCGATGAAAGTGCGTGGGAGCGCGATCAGACGCGTTTTGGGCGTGACTGAACGATATCTAATGTCTATGTTAGAACTTGGATACTTGGATAATGGCGGGGCAATGTTTAGTGCTCACCTGGGGTACCATGAGTGAAACGAGCAGTTCATGATATGTGACTTCGTGATGGGCGGAAAGGGAAGCTTTGTGAGTGTTGCGCTGTCCGAAGTAGACATTTTAATTCCTCTTCGTGTGCAACCGTGATCCTCGTGGATGTAGGGGTTTGACGCGTACGGACAAACTTGAAGCCTTGCTGGGTATCTCCGGAAAGTAGCTGCTGCCTCTTGAGTGGACTTGAGTATTTGCGAATTCTAAGTGCTGTCCAAGTTGTTGATACGTGAAATGCTAAAATTGACTTTTACATCACGAGTGAATGTCGGATTCGTGCATACTAGGCCGCACATAGCACGACGCACGGGCCGCATATTGTATCACCAGGTTGCCACCTTATTCTTCAACGGCTAGAGAGACGAACATAGTACCATTGTATGAAGCTGCAATGATTTTACTCATGTATCTGCAGTTATCTGCTATAGACAGGCGATTCCACCAAGGGTGTGCGCAGACACGCGCTACGCCAGAAAACATTATCTTGACACTCAAGGTAAAGTGACGCGATATGCCATGCTGGACTCCGCAATTGGATGTTACTCCATTCTCATAAAGCCGCCAAATACCATGCCCATCAATCTGAGTCCCCTACAGTGGGCAATAATACAGGAAATTGACCGTGCCGAGGTAGAGCACGAGTCGATACACACATGAGACGCCGAAATATTCCCTAGATATGGATGAGCTTCGTCGATCCACGAAATCCTCCATGTGTAAGCTGAGGGGGATTGGAAAGCAATATGGAACAAGTAAATGGTATCCCGGGCACTCGGGCGTGCTCGAAACTCAAGCCGCACACGCCAATGCATAAATATGTCAAATCGATTCGTGTAAGGAATGGTCGTCGTCGGTCGTATACTAAGTGCTAAACTTTTGTGTCTTTACCGAGACCGTCGCCATAGATATTCGCCGAAACAGAATTTGTAAAGAAACTTTTAGGATTATCGTATTAGGGCTGGAGATCCGTCAGATAATCCAAGATGATGTATGTATTAAGCTCCATTGCGGAAGTCCACCTTCGGAGAAGATTTAAATGGTTTTGGTGCTGAGTTTTGTACAGTATCATGGTTGTCACCTGCAGTGCTGTTGTTGCTTGTGCTTGGTACAGAATTGCTCATCGGGCTTTGTGGGTCAACCACGAGGGGCGGAGGGGTGGTGGCTGATGGGCTTTGGGACCTGTCGTCCAGTCTGTGCATCATTTTCTCAACCTGCTCTGGTGTTAACGTTTGGCTATGATGTGCCTGCGATGTACTCTTACAGCTTGCACGTGTTTCCCAGCCATAACCTTCTTGGCTCTATCCATTTCAGGTGTCAAGATAACAAGGAAGTCTGCGTAGTCTTTAAGGTTCAAAGTACCGAGAACTTTCTCTGTCCAGTAGTCAGTATCGAGCTCAAGTGCCTAGTGCCGTTATACATACGTATCACGTAGTTGCCGTATGGGTCCTTGATCAGTCCAGGTAGTTGGCTTTCACCACGCTCATTCCTCTCAGAGAGCTTCTCCATGATAGCACGGCGGTGTTGGTCCGTCCCATGGACTAGCGCCTTCTCGACCACATTGCTCGCAAACTTGTGTTTGGAATACATGATGAGCTGAGCATTGATCATGTTCAGAACCCTTTCTTTGTCTTGATCCCCACCATGTTCAATGATATGCTGCGTCACGTAATTGCCATATTGGTCAGACATCAGGATTGTACCCTGTGCATGAAGCTCTTGGAGGATCGATGACTTGGCAGGCTCCTCGCAATGTTCCAGCATGCGCTGTATAACACGACAGCCGTAAGGGTGTATGGCTAATGTTCCGACGAGGTTGGTGAAACTATTGATGATGAATTGTATATGCTCAGTCGGGATCCGTTCAATGGCTTTCTGAATGACATGATTACCGTTTTGGTCCTTGACACACTTGATGACATTGCCTTCGAGCTCTTTGATTAGAGACGCTTGTTGATCAGTCAAGATATGCTCTAGAGCCTTTTGAACAACACGACAGCCATACATCTGCGTAGAGAGTGTCATCATATGGCCTTTCATCTTGTTAGCTAGTTGCTTTTTCTGGGTCTGATCTCCGTGCTCGAAGAATTTCTGGATGACGTAGTTTCCGAAAACGTCTTGCATCAATTGCAAAGAATTTCCGAGGAGTTCCTTGAACACTCGTTCCTTCTCATCGCTATTCGCTGATTCAAGCTTTTGCTGAATGAATCGAGAGCCGTGTTGGTCTCCGCTAAACTCAACAATGTGAGAGAAAATATCTTTCAGCTCGAAACGCCGATTGGACTTGTTATTCATTCGGAACTCTTCCAGTATCTTACTTCGACCACTATCCGCCGGTAGCTCTCGAGGACCTCGGGGAGGCTCCATGCCTGGTATCATACCGGCAATCTGCATATTCGGTGGTACCATCATAGTGGGTGGTACCTGATAAGGATATGAATACTGTGTACGGTACTGAGCAGCGTGTCCAAGCATGGGTTGGCTGTAGTTTCCGGGTGTGAACCGTGGATCCTGTTGTTGCTGGATGTTGCGGAGCCTTTGATCCAACATCGATGTATTGAAACTATTTGAATGTCTTCCGGGCAGTCTGCTCGCTGGCTCCCCTCTAGAGGGATACAAGTGATCGAACGCTGGTGGAGTCGCGCCAGTAGAGTAGTGAGGCGTAGAGCCATATGGACTGGGACGGAAATCTCCTATACCACTATTACCAGGGGTATTAGCTCCGCGACCATTGTTCAAATTCCAGTTGCGCAGCTGCGTTGAGGGGTCATTGTGCTGGCCGTTTGGGAATCCTTCTGGAGTCATAGTTCCGTTGCCATTCATAGACAGTGAATCAGAACGAGTCGCAGTATGGTGTTCGTTGCCTCTAGGGTCACGTTCCGAAGTGTCGAAGATGTACCCGTGGTTGTAGATGCTTCCAGGATCACGAGTATTGGACTTGTCATAAGCTGTTGAAATGCCACTGACGCTCACTGAGGCGCGATGGCCTGACAGTCCCAATGTAGATTCCGACCCGTCATCGTCAATACTAATATGTCTGAGATTGATCAAAGCAGCTTCACTCTGGATTGATCCACTGCGCTTATCCGTTTGCTTGGACTGCGGAAAGGTAGCATGCTGGGCACGAGATGATGGTGGTAGCGGTTGCTGCTGTGGTAAGGGGTACGTCTCGGAATGTCTCATGAAATGCATAGTATCTGCACCATTCCCATGACGAGATGGTGGCAGGCTACCACTCCGTGACGGAGCGTTGCTATGCGTGGGATGATAGTCCACGTTTGCTACATTTCTTCTCTCTTCCGTGGGAGAATGCATTGTCGGACCTTCGGCCCAGGGTCCGCTCGATGAATCTACAGCTCTTTGATTGTGACCGTCTTGTTCAGTATAACGGGGGTAGGATCTGTGGCCATTCTGACTAGAGTCGGTCTGACGGCCAAAGGGAAATGCACTCGATGTAGGGTTGAGCTGAGCTTGTACCGCGTTGCTGGATGAAAGGTTATTGGAGTTTTGACGCGCAGAAGAGAACATCTGGGATCCTGCTGTCTGGGATATGTCCACGTAAGACTGCGACGCTTGCGACGCATGCGTTGTGAGCGGGCGAGAGGGCGAGATACCTGCGCTGCGGCCGTGAGGGAGATTTGGATTTTTTGACTCTTTAGGACCCCATACTCTTGACATGCCCCAGGCGTCAGATTCGGAAGATTCAAGCAAAGACCCAGAGCCCTTTTTCTCTTCGTTCTCGTTCGACGGTTTGTAGGGAGCATAGAATCCGTCTTCTAGAGGTCAGTGGTCAGTAAAGAGAACGCAACCATCAGTAGGAGAACAGTACCTCGTGGTCTCGCATCGTTCCGCTGATTTGTGGTCGAGCTCAAACCAATATTTCCGGGCCCCCATATATTTGGACCCCAAGGCCTCGATGTGGAAGGTTTTGCCAGTCCGAGAGAAGGAAAGTCTTCGCTGGTGAGTTGTGAGGCACCACTACCAATCTCGCCAAAGCGAGATGTGCGCTATGATGGGTTAGCTAGAGCAAGTAGGCTGAGAAAAGTAGGGCCTCACATTGATGGGCATGGTAGCGGAACAGCGTGAACCGAGTTCAGCGGGGACCATAGCTCGGGGCTGTGTCTATGTGTGTTATTATGTGCTTCAAGGTGCACAGATTCGGTGTTGAGCAGGGCCGTGGGAACTTCCGGTGAGATATGATGTAGCAGCTGAAGGCTATATGTCAGCACTGAAGCGACACGTGAAAGTGAAGAAGAACATACAATTGCGTGCTCTGAAATCGCGGGGTGTAGACAGCCTCAAGCATGCACAGTATAGGACGACCGATGGACAGAGTAGATGTATACAAAGGGATCGAGGCGGACAGCTAAGGTAACGAGTCGAGCTGAGGGCTGAAGCCTGATATGGGGAGCGCAGGTCGCGAAGCGCGCAATCTCAACGAGGTGTAGGGATATCAGCAATGTGCATTGCTGAGCTGCAAACGGAAGAGTCGCGCAGTGTCCAGGAAACACATCAGAATGCGCTGAAAGGACCGAGCGTGTGGATTGCTGAGGCCAAAGGTCGTGTGGGACGCAAGGGCGCAGTGGCCTAAATAATTGCGGAATTCGGTGTGACAACTGAGCGGGGCAGGCTGAGCGGACGGAGAGAGAGTGTGAGAGGGAGCGTGTGTGCGAGTGTGAGGCGAGAGCTGTAGGTATAAGTATAAACAAGAAAGTCGAAGAGACGAGAGTCGACAGGATTGTTGTGTATGAGAGAGGTGGTAGTACCTTAGGTAGGTTGAGGTGGATGGATGAAGTGACGACGGCGTGGATCGTTCGTAGGGTTGTGTCCAAGTAACAAAGTAGCAAAGTAGCAAAGTAGGTAGCCCTGAAGGTGATAGTTGGGCGAGCCAGGCAAGACCGGCGCCGGGAGAACAGGCTACGGCTACGGCTACGGCTACCTAATCAACAATTAAGGTAACGTTAGTTGAACCACATCACTCTAAAAAAGGGCTTTGTTGTCAGCGCATATATTATGGAGACCTAGATCACGGTCCACGGTATCATAACTTCTTTCTTGGTGCTTGGGTGCCGTTGTCAGGTTGTCAGGTCGGCTCTACTGTGCCTGTTGCTTTGCCTTTGTTTGGTGGCCCCTGCAACACACGAGATATGCGAAAGACCGGGCAGAGAAGACTTGTTCACAGCAGATACCAGTATCACGAACACGCTAGAACGGCCGTTGCGACATCCTTTGGTGTAGCTGGAGCTCCTGTGCGGCGTTGCGACTGTTGGATGTAGAAATACTCATAATGCACAGCTGGATCCAGTCACTCATCGATTTTGTAAACCACACCTAGACGGCAAACAAGGGTACCGACAAGGACAAGGACAGGGACAAGGCCGATAGGCTTGGGCAGCCTGGTGCTGGCACTGGTATAGTACCTAGGAAAGAGGTTTAAAAAAGGAAGTCCGGGGTTGACGATGTGGGGACTCTGGGGGAGAAAACGCCGTTGCAGTCTTCATTCCAGTTATTAATTACAGCTCCTCCAAACCCTCCACTGTCTTCAAACGCCAGCGACGGCGAGCCTTGCAGCTAGTCAACGACCCTGAATGTATACAAAGACACAAGCATTTCCTGGTATATCCAAAATTCCCACAGTCCCTTGCTCTGGCGGTCAGGAAAACCAAGCCTTTGGTTCATCGAATCCTGTGGAGTCGCTCGTTACCATGATTCATTCATTCATTCATTGTTCTGAACTGCGACTATTATTATCTCAGCTCCTCAGGTTTGGCCAGCAATAGCATTTCGAAGCGCGCAAATCGAGACGATTGTCACTTCGTACCATCGCGAGCACAGCCTCGGACACGACTGTTTGACGTTACGAACAATGGAAATGTCAAGACAGTTTGCTAGGGCGTCGCCGCACAAGCCTGGTCGTGCGGCCAACAGGCCACCCTCTCACCAGATAGATGCCTTGTTTTTCGGCCTCACATTCCGTTGTGCGCCACAATCTTCAACACCTAGTTGGTACAGATGGGTCACCCGTAAGGTTTTCACGTTGCTTGCTCTCGTACGGGGCCATGTCAGCACAGTAGTACTCAATCTTGCTGGTGGATCGTGCTTCTGGCATTCTTCATGTTCAAGTTTGTACAGTCGAACGAAAACAGCCGAGTTACTGTTCGCTATAGACTGGCATGCACGCCCGCTGATACTACTTTTTGCAGGTGCTTCCATACCGTCCTTGACTCAGTAGGGGTGTGATATATCACGTGAATATCAACACTTTGTCTCTGCTGGTAATAAGCTGTCGACTTGTCTGCACATAATTAGAGTTAGTAGCAACAGTAGGATTATCGGCGTTGCGATCGCAAGGAGACCATTCAGGCGTAGCTCTTAGTCAGCTCAAATTTAACCATATGAGAGGTAGGTAGGCTGAGTAAGAGGCTTCTGATTAATGTTGAAATGGTTGTATTGTCTGTCGGTACGTCACCTAAACTGGATATCATGGAACTTTTCGCCGTATCATACAAGGTCATGTTTGGGAAAGTCTTGAGTGCTCAGAGCCTGGCTGGTGTAATAGGTGTTCGTCAGTACCGACTCGAAGACCTATCCAGAACATAACAGATGTCCAGGTACCTTAATATTCTGATTCATAAGCGGAGCCTTCGCGAGTTAGATTCCGGTGCAACAATTTGGGAGAACTTGGACCGTTTGGAACGCAATACGGTCAACATCTCGGTATGTAGTTCCACTTCCAGCTGGTGAGTGAGAAATTCGAGTGAAGGCCGTCTAACTGCCAGTGTTGTGTTAATGCCACTTCAAGGCTGTGAGTGGAAATGGATTCCACGTTATGACAGGACGTGTGTTAGTGGTGTCGTGGTGTTGCGGTCATTTGGCCATGGTTTCGCAGTCACTGATTCGTAGACACAGAGTCAGTATGCACGGTTAGTAGAGTATAGTTCGGTTTCGTTTCTTTCGAGAACACAGGGTTCACCTTACTTGTAGTTTCTTATAGACCGTGGAGTCCTAGATGACGCGTTTCGATACATGGAACCTTGATGAAGATTGGTGAATGCTGAGTATTTCGGATGATTATGATGCTCCGCAATGTGACGTGCAGACCGGGAAGTGTAGATGGGGCACCTCATCCATGTGTGTGATGGTATGCCAAGGCTGAGGGCACTCTGTTAACTGCCCAGCACAACAAGCTTCCAATAGGTCACTACAGAGGTAGGTCTGGTGGTATAATACTGATCAGCCAAGCAGATACAGGACATGGTGTATAGCAACATATCGCATTATACCGGTCTCAACGCGGCTCTCCTTTTGGCGACTAGTTGGTGTTGGAGTGAGCGAGACAGCGATGAGGAGGGGATCTCTGTTTGGTTTGGCGTCAAATTTCGCTTGCAGGGCGCTAGGGCAGGGCGGGCCAGGCACAAGACTGTGATTGGTCTGGTGACTAAAAACGGTGCGTTTTGGTGCGTTTTGGTGCCTGAGCGCGCCGGTGGAAGCGCCAAATGAGCGTTTTAGCCGGCCGTGCGGTGCCATTTGCGCACCTGGAGACCCTTTGGAAGCCTCTAAGCCTCTCTAACCCGCTAGCTAACACCCTAACCTCACATTCACTCTCCCTCTCCCTCTGTTTCCCCTTCTCCTCCTCTCTCTTCTCGTCTCTCTCTTCCCTTTTCTCTTCTTCTGCATCGCCTCATCGCAGCACTTGCTTCCCTGCATCTTCACGTCTTCCTGTACCTCCGCTCCTTCTTTCCATCGCAGTCACGGCTTCACTCTTTCAGCCGTTTCGAGCAATCCATTCTTTCCTCAGTCCGCTACACAAACACCTACTCAACCCACGTTCTTTCTCACGACACACTCGCTGTCCGGTGTATCCTCTGCAAGGTGAGCTTTGTCCCCGGCTCCACACTCGCGCTTTCGAAACATTGTTTGCCTCCGCACAATCAGTCGCCCTCCAGTAGTATCGTCATACTCGTCTCAATCGCTAATACCAATCGGTATCCATCAGTCCATGCAAGCATCACCATTCTACGCAGAACCTACCGTCGTAAACAATTTTACCTTCGTTCAACAATCAACATGATTAACTTACATCATCTCCTCCGTCGCGACGACGAACAAGAACAAAAGGACGGAATGAATCCAACCATTTCCAGCCTTCTTATCGCGCTTATGTGCCTTGTCGTTGTCGCACTTATTGCCGTCGGTGCGCTATTTGTGCTTCGTCACCTGCGCAGATCGAGAAAAGCAGCCGAAACCCTTCCCATGTACAACGAGAAACGATCATCAGCCTCGAGCCGCGGCCTTACAATCACAACGCCGACTTCAGAGACTGGACGCCCCGACTCCGTGCTCATATACAACGAAAAGCAACAATTGATGGAGAAATCCCTCAACACACCAGACAGCCCTGTCCCCGAGATTCGCATCACCTTTCCAGAAGAATTCGATGAATCAGGCAAGAGACAATCCGGAAGGGTTGTCGTCGTCCGCGTCGGCGAGACAAGTATCGGTCTCGAGCCCTTACAAGAAGATCTGCCGCCATACCAGCGGGATACACAAGATCGGTTCCAGTCTCTTGACCTGGATCGTATTGGAGGGTTAAAAGAGAAGGATATTGCCGTATAGTTGACGGTACTGAAATTCTAGAGCGCGCCGATGTCATCTGGTGCCGCCATCTTCCTCATCCATGTCCCAACGACTTTTCATTTCCTCTTCTCAACCAAAACGTATCGACTCGATTCGTACGTTCTATATGCCACACTTGGCTATGATTCTCGCTCTTATGACGATTTCAATCCAGCCCGCTGCAGGTAGTTGCTGAATTCCCCCATTGTGCTCTCCGCCTGTACTCTTCTTCTACCAGATCGGGCCTAAGGTTTCCTGATCACCACCGTTTTATCACTGCCGGAACATCTGCACAATGATACACTAGTGTGTCTACGCCAGCGGCTTTTTACTACCCGCCAACTTCACTTCTTTTGGGGGGGGACAATTTTACGGGATACCCAGCAAGCCTATCATTCGCACAAATGGTCTTATCTGGTAACAATTCGACTATTTATCTTTGAATCAGCTTAACCCCCTGCAGGTTATTACCTCGCTTTCTAGTTTCTATTCGTTAATGTATGATAGCCTTGGGCTTGGTTCCTTCTGAATGGACTCTGCGGTCTGTTCGGATGTAGAGCTGTCTGTGGATGGAAAACGTGCAAAGAGAATGGAATAGTGTCCAAAATGTAAATGCGATTTGGATCTATACTGCTGTACCTTGTGTGTCGAGTGACGTACGGGATCCTCGTGCTCTATTTCTCGAATGGTTTCAACCAGGTTATTTGCGCTTACGCCGCGCTATATACATAGCCAAATATGCACGTCAAAAACACTTTCTATCGGCTAGAAGGTGATAACTTGTGACAATAAGCTCAGCCCAGTGTATAAATAGAACAGCCCGGCGCCCCACTTGGAGCCGCTTCCTAACATCATCGGCGTCGCTCGACACGGTCGATGCTACTACCTACAGCTTTATCTCTTGCTTTCTATCAGCATGGTATATAATGCTAGTGAATTGTGATACCCTAAGATCTAGCAGAGGGCAGACTTGGATTTTTGAAATCAACCGAGGCATTCCGTTGGACCGAAACACTTTACATGCCATTGTCATATCTGTAAAATTATGGACAATAAGGTTCCTTACGCGCAACGTTCGGCATCCATCATTATCGCTGAAAGATCGTGTATCAATTTTAGAAAGAGCTCATCGCTCACGCTTCAAGATATACTACTTCCTTATATTCAAACTTCGCAAGTTTACCATGGCAAACTCTTTGACCACATCTGCCTAGAGGGCTCTTGTAATCTTGATATGCTATACGTAGGCTAGGGTCTACATGGTCATCATAACGCCGAGATCTAGTAGTCTGCCGTTGATGTTTGGGACGGATGACGCTACTAGTGAGCTAATGAAGGATGTGAGTAATACCAAGTTCATTATAGTATTGTCTTTCGTTGTAGTGGCTTAATAACTTTGTCGAGACTCCGACAATATTATGTTTACCTTGTGAAAAGATGGAAGTTAGCAGGGTCGACACTCTAGTCATTGTAATATATAATTCACTTCGACTTAACGCTCAAATAGCGCCTGGACTTACTATCTAGGTTACAATCCTAGATCGAAAAGAAATAAATCCTTCATAAAAGAGATCTATTCTCGATACCATGCCCAAAAGCGGCTCTTAATGTTTCGTGGAAGGTATCGATCGTGACCGGGGGCTATAGTGGAGCTATGCACTCCGTGGCAGTAACTTCGATTTTCTATGGACGATTTCGCCCCATATGTTTCGGGCGTATCTTCTCGCGCAATGATCTTAAAAAACAAATCCGTCCGCGCCTTTGGTCGTCTCACAGATTCTGGATTATTTCGTACGTTTCGTACGTTTCGCACGTTTCGCACCAGATCTTCCATAAATAGCTCAAGCCCCTGACTCGCTTTTCAAACCACATTCCTTTTTCTAGACCTACTTCCTTACTTTTCTCGAGTTTATCATAAATGAATAGTCCTCTAATGATCTTTCTATAACCGTTAGTCGATGCCAGAGCTGACTATTTCGTTATGTCGTCTTGTGTCGGGGAAGCTCCGACTTGCTCATCTTCCCGTTAGGTCATAAAGAATTTATAATTCTTGTATGATCGAACGAATACTAACCATTGTCTCTATGCTCAATACGGCAGTACTGTGAGATCGGACGCGTAAGAAGATAACAGTGGTATTTGGGGAGTATAGAGTGATGTATAGGATGCTCTTTCGAAACGGATCTTGATCAGTTCTATCCCAAGACACTTTGAATACCACCTTGGTTATTTTGTAACACGTGGGAAAGGTGGTAAGTTGTGTACTGCCTTGGGCGAAGTCAAAGTAGAGAGTTAGCTTGAACTGTTGCTCAGGTCAAGTATTATTGACCTCCAGTCGCGATGACAATGGTCTCTTATAACAGTCGAAGAACATGCTTCTCTGCATAGAGACCTAAAGATACCCATTACTACAGTAGAATACCTAGTATCCCTTGTAACCACCAAGTTAAATCCACTCTGTCCTTGATGACGTTCTGGTTTTAAGTCAATTACAGGTCGGGGCGTCTTTCTACCTTGGCGTGGGACATTGAGTATAGGGCATAGGCAAGTATGCGTCTCAGTAATCTATCTCATAACATATGCTTATGACTGTGATTAGTGGTGCTGGCATTGTTTTCGCATGGTTTTCCTGAAACGTTATTTGCGTCTTCTAAAATCGAGCTCTTAATAAGGTTCCGCTTGATCTGCCGTGAAGTGGTACTTTGGCATTCATACGTGAAACCTACTGATCAAGCATACATCTACACTGTTAGCAAACCGATTACTACGGGCAGGGAAAGTCCTGTGACGTGCTATTAGTTGCTGTCTGTTGGCGCATTTGGGCGATACGGAGATTTTTTGATGGCTCAAAACAGCAAATTTCCTCACGTTACCAACTTCCTAACAACTGAAGATAACCATTCCATGAGATCGAGGTGGGCTAATGCGAGTGTTCGCGTTGTTCAGGGATCTGACAGTGGTCTGGTGTATTCATGGTCTAAACATCGATGAAAATAACGCATCCAAGAAGTCATTGCTCCCATATCAACTATGGCACCATAATGCTGTCACATTGTATTGCACTTCTAGTCCTTCTTTCGAGACGGCAAATCGCATGTAAATAGCCCTACGTTCTAGACGCTCTAGCGACACACTCTCTAGACTCGCAAGAAGATTGTATCCAGGACCTATACCCTATTAGACTGATCACAGACTAGCAAAACAAAGAAAAGTGAATCATCGGATACCTTGAGAGTCGCTTTACTCTATTGCGAGCTTAGGGGGAGCAGTTGGTTAAGGTTATAAGCATCCTTTTAGAAGTAATGTATTCATACTTTTGACATCTACTGATCTCGGGGTTATCGCTTTTTGCGCTATCGACCTCAGGTTAACAGCCTGAGCTTCTGGGCTCAAGTGGATCACCTGAATACTGTTTGGTCTGAGTGACCCTTTGAGAGGGCCATTACGAGCATACGAGAAAGCTCAACGCCGGGATCAATGTTGAGACATATAGTAGAGACGGTAGGTACCTAGGGTTGGCTTCATGGTAGATATGTCACATTGCTAAGAAGAAATTACGATGTTTCACGCCACTCCTTGCAATGTGCCAATTGGAGTTGGGGAGACTGCCAGTGGAAAGTTGGGGATGGTGTTGCCGCTCTTATATGTGATGAATGCTGTGGGTGCAATGACAATCGGTAATTCCCTTCAGTATTCCAACTATTGAACACGTCACAGATGAGTGACATGGTACGTTACGCCAGACCGGTTACCGGTGCGATGATGTGGCAGCAATTGCATACATGATACGATGTTTCTGATGGATATAAATATCTGGGACCGGGAACAGGACTCATCCGAGGCTCGTTGTGCCCCTGCCTGTTCGCGCCCAGATTGATGGAAACATTGTGAGAGGAGTTGCGGTGACAATAAATCGGCTAATCGGATGCTTAAGTGGGATCTAGAGGTACTTAGCCGATCTAGTAGCGCCGAGGCTGAACTCCCAATAATTAGGTAATTACCTGATGCTGCTGACCGCTCATTTTCTTCAGAGCCTGTACATCTTATTATGCATGTTTTAGGCAGTTCATTTTCATCTTATTTTATCCACGCCTGTCTTGTTAAATTGTTGATCATAACATGGCGCTTAACCTGACGTATATGAAGTCCGATACAAAGTCTAAGATAAATCCGATTGGGAACTTGGAAAGGCCGCATGATTATTACGACACTTGACCCCCTGGCTTTTCGCTGCGTGCACATGAGCAACCCACTACAGTCATCATATCGAGAAGCCATCGTTTGGTACAACTCGATGTCCACCCGATGATATTCATTGCACAAGGGCTACTATTTTTTCGGACAGCATGTCTACTCACATGGTAGATAATCCGCACAGTGATACTTCATATCTCTAGTTCGAGTCCTCCCTGTAGGTGAACCTATATTTATGTGGATCATTCGAAGTTCCCCGGCTCCATAAAACACCTCGCCGGCGCTTGTTCAGCTGCATGCATAAGCAGCTACCAGTTTCAAAAGGTTGTAATGGCGCGCACTATAAACGCCTAAGGTGACATCTGTAGCTGACTTGAAGCCAGATCGCCCCTTCCTATGCGTCGACTTCAACTCTACCGCAGCTCGATCGAGGAACGCCCTCATCTAACAGTCAGAAGAGTTGAAAATTTGTCTGAGCCATGGACATTTCAAGGCTCAGCGCTGGAGATGCACTCCCGCATGGTGACATCTATGTTTGTCTTACATCCTAAAATATTACGTGCTCTAACCACGAATCAGGGTGTCAGCGTCCACTTGCCTAGATGGGCTGACACAGTAGCTTGGGCTGAGCGTGACCCAAAACTTCTTCTTAAGTTGAAAACAGGCTATCCACGATTTTTCATACCACGCGTGGTTCTGCAGCTGGGCTCTCGAATACTTGAAGAGGCTGCCTCTTCGTCGATACAAATTCATTCAGGTTCCGCTTGGTCAGATGCTCAGACTGTAGTGAGTGGAGATTCCTTGGCCGTATCTTCATCAGTGCTGCTACTGTCGTCTTTGACAGCTGCCCGCATGTGCCATCAGTTTTTGTCCCGGAATGATTCACAGTACGGCCCAATTTTGAGAATTAGATTTCCCGGGGTCATTCATATTGTTGGAGATGCAGATGTTGAGACCGATCACATCGTTCCGACCTCCGATATATACGCCGTTACCTACGCGGAAGGCTCTATTGATGAAGCGAAAGCCTTCTGGCAACACACCGGGTTCGGCATCACATCACGATGTGCAGTCTACTGGCTACAACATGCATTCCAACTTCAACCTGAACTGCCGTGTCGAGAGCTTCCCTCAAAGCTACCTCTGAAAGAAGCGGGCTGCGCTTACACTGCGCTACAATCACGCATAGCATCACAAATGTCAACTAAACAGGTTGAGGTATTGTCTAGGGATGTTATATTGTTCCCGACTGGCATGTCTGCCATTACTAACATCGCACTTGGGGTGCGCAGTATGCAAGAGAAGAAACTTCGAGTTGGACATGTTGCGGTCTTTGGGTGAGCCGCTCCCCGTTTATGCATCCTACTGTTGACGAAACAGCTTTCTATATGTCGACACCTTCAAAACGCTCAGTCGTATCCACGACTTCAAATGTACTCTCTATGGCCACGCATCAAGCTCCGACCTTGATAAACTCATAGCGGACTTGAACCGTGGCCTTACGATTGACGCGCTCTATACTGAATTCCCCGGGAACCCCCTTCTCGTTGCCCCAGACCTTAAAGAGCTCCATAGACTGTCCCTCGAGCATGATTTCGTCTTGATAGTTGATGATACCGTCGTCACTGCCATCAACGCTTCACTGTTTCCCTACTGCGATATTATCTGTACCAGTCTCACGAAAATGTTCAGCGGCGCGTGCAATGTCATGGGCGGCTCTGTAACGCTTAACCCGCAATCACGCTGGTACACGGCTCTACATGGACACCTCATTAAACAACCAAAGGAGCCATACTTTCCGCTAGACATTCTCGTCATGGAACAAAACAGCCGCGACTTCTCCTCGCGCGTGGAGTGCGCAAATCAGAACGCTGAGATCATAGTGCAACAGCTTAAACAGCACGACTCCGTCTCTGAAGTATTCTACCCCAAAGAAAGCGTTTCCAAGGCGCTGTACGACGAGTTACGGCGCCCAGATGGGAGGTACGGCTTTCTGCTGTCAATTCTCTTCGTCTCGCCGGCAGCCGCCATAGCATTCCACGATGCACTGGACGTAGCAAAGGGCCCGAGTCTGGGAACGAACTTCACTCTGGCTTGTCCGTATACGTTGCTAGCTCATTACCGCGAACTTGAATGGGCGGCGAAGTTTGGTGTCGTGGAGCATTTGGTGCGAATCAGCGTTGGCGTTGAGAGTACTGCATATCTTGAAGAAGTGGTTGCAAAGGCTCTTGAAGCAGCTGCTAGTGTGTAGATTGCGAGGTAATGATTGAGACATGGATTTGGACGTTTATAGCGGACGAGAGACATACTATCTGAGATGGGGCTGCACAGTCGTCTTGGAGATCTGGAATGTATCCCTGAGCTACCCATTGCCTGTAGGTAAAGCCACTTACTCTTGATGACTTCTTTTCTCGCCACATGTTTGTCATTCTTGAAATCTCAATTTGGTTTGCTTAGAATGCTACGACGACTTTAACTTAACAGCTATCAATTATGTGATGGAAAAGAAGGCTTTGGACTTGAGCTTGTACTACTGAAGCAGTACAACACTGCATGCGCCTAGCCAGGCGGTTCAATTACATCGCTTTGCCAGGTGTACGATGCGAGTCCCGGTACTTGTCATGATACGTGAATGCAAAATTTATGGATTGTTCAATTCGCTTCCTTCAAGCGATCGCATGCTCAGATCTAGCAGTGAGACAGCCATGCCGAGACAATCTTGGTACGAGGAACCAACATGCATGCAGAGTTCCTATCAATCAGTCCAACTTCAATTCTGCCTCTCCAGAATTGACTCAGTCCAGTTCAACTGAGGCCTCTTGCCAAGGGTTGGATCTTCAGTCCAATTCAATTCTAGGGTAGGATTGAGTTGCTAATAGTTGAGTTGAACTGAAGTTATATATAGATAGGTATATTAGTAGATATCCTCTTGAGGTTAGGTGATTCGGGTAGATTTATGGGATTCCTATTAGGTAATCCCCGTTACTTAGATCTTATTCAGCGTTAGGCTGGTATATATAGCACTTAGATAGACTTAGTAGACACGTCAATCAATTTTACCACGTCTAATTTACTAAAGTTCCCACATCTAGTAGCTAAAATCTGGTTTTTATCCTCCTAGGGAGGCTATCGCTTCGGCGATGCCTCCTAAGGGGTAGTTATCTCACCCCTTATATAAGGGAACTCGTTAAAAACATTTAACGCTTACGACGAACTATATAACTTACTAGACGATAATAAGAATAAACCTAGAGTCTAATATAAAAACCCTTCTCTAAAGCGACACATCCTAATTTCGGAGATAGAAATTACGGTAATAAAGCTTAACGACTAAATTCGATAGTCCTAGCGGATAGTAATATATTATAAAATAAGCTAAAAGAGTCACGTAAGAAAAATATATATTAACTCCCCCTATATCCGCGATAGACATCCTAGCTACTCGTTAATATAAATTAACGCCGTAATTCTAACTCGGAAGATAATTATCACCCTAGGAAACGCCTTCCTTACCTAAGCTATATTAAGATATCTTCCTTATAGAACCCCGATCGTAACGGCGACGTCCCTATAGGAGGAGCTAATGCTCCCTAAAATATAGGACGCGCCCGTAATAAGCCGTTAAACACCATTAACGCGCTTACCGCGCTCCTTAATACTAACCCGGCTATAAGGGACCTTACTAGAGACGCTCGTACGTTAGTACTAATTAATATATATACCAATCGACTCGAGTTATAAATAAGAAACGACTATATCACTCGAGAAGAACTAGTAAGAGACTTTAATAACCTCCTCCTTAATAACCCTAACCGGGCGAGCCTAGCTATACTAGTAAGAAGAGGCCGCATTCTACTCTAAGTACCCGATATATACTCGGGAGAAACTAGAGATAACGCCTACGAGGAATAGTACTTATTAATCTAGGAATAGATTTATACCGTGGAATTAGTAGAGCGCTAGGAAGCTATACCTAAGTTTAAGAAACTATAAATCTACGGGATATATATATTAAAGCATATCCGCACCCTCTAGCGTAGCCTTATAGAAGCCCGTGGACGTAATAACCTAGATAGTCCTTAAATACTAGACGGCTTTCTAGATATTATACGTCGAACGTATATCTCTACTAATCGCCCTAAATAGCGTAGAAAGGAATAGGAGAACCTTACTTAATATCGTTTCGGATCTACCTTAAAGCTTATCGACGCTATCGTTAAAAAGGCACGACTCCTATAACCCATGCCTTCTAAATATAAGATATAGCGTAGAATTCTAGGCGCCCTTAAGTCTAAGGTTTAACGTGAGATCGAAAAGCAGCCCTTTCCTCCTATAGAATTAGAAGAGTAGTACCTATGGGTGAAGAGGCTAGAGGAAGCCTTATATATCTACTCTAGAAACGAATACTATAGGCGGGAGGCTACTCATTATATTAATACTATATATTACTAAGACGAAGAGGAGGAACCGGAAGAATTCGAACCTTCTAAGGACTTATATACACGTGAAGATAAATTAGGCGACTACTCTAGAGACGAGGGTAAGCTCCACGCGTTCGTGAAGCGTTAATAGAGTAACCGAGGCCGTGGTAGAGGCTAGAACCGAGGCCGAGGCCGTGGTAAATACTAAGGAGGCTCGTTAAGAGCTCTTAACGAAACCCGAGAATACTTTAACTATAAGAAGTTAGGATATATCTCGAGATTCTACCCCGAAAATCCGACTCTAGGTAAGCTAGCCTACGTTACTACCGAGGATAACGCGTTAAGCGTCTTTAACGAAGAGGCCCTAAAAGCTAGTCGCCTATAGTAGACATAGAAGACACCACGAGCGACTATAAGAGCTTCTATACTAATAATACCGATGAAAACAAGATAAACACATGGGACTACGAATATATTAACGCGCTTTATAAATCGCTAGAGAGTATCTACTATTATTAAGAGGAGTTAACGGACGTTATCGACGATCGCCTCTATCAACTAAACTCTATTAGTAGATAGTTACTAGAACTTAAGGCTTACGTAGGGGAAGTCCACCCCTAGAGGGTTTTAGTCCTTATTAACTATAGGGCTAATAGAACGTATACGTTAACGAAGGTTACTAGGCGTCTAAAGCTAGTACCGTAACCTACCCCCGTAATACGTGTTAAGCTTTCGTTAGGAGCCCTAATAACAAGTTAAGAAGTTATAAAAATCCCTCTTCGTATAGAAAGCTTCACTTACGAAGTCTCTGCGAGAGTACTCGACCTTAAGGGCTATAATCTAATTCTAGGTTATGAATGGCTTTATAAATAGGATCCCAATATATCGTGGAGATCCTATTCCCTAGTAATTAGGAGGCTAGTAGCTCGAGGAAGGACTAAGGAGTATCTCCTTAAGGGGATTCCCGCGTTAATCGACATTAACTTATAAGGAGAACAAGTGCTAAACGTCCTTACCGCCAGCCAAGCACGGAAACAATATCTAAACGGCTGTAAGTAAGGTGTAATATAGTTCATTAGGAAAGACAACCCTCCTATACTATAGGCACCCGACCTAATGCTATAAACGGTTTTAACGGAGTACTAGGACGTCTTTAAAGAAAAGCTACCTAAAGGACTACTACCTTCGAGATAATAGGACTATAAGATAGATATAGGAGACGGCCGACCCGTTAATAACGCCGCCTACCGCCTCTCCCTAGAACAAATCGCTAAATAGTAGAAGTAGATATAGGAGCTTATCGAGCGAGGGCTTATCCAAGAATTAGAAAGTACCTAGGGTAGCCTAGTACTTTTCGTATCTAAACCCGGAGGCAAATAACGAATATATATTGATTATCGAGCACTTAATACACTCACGCGTAAGGATACGACCCCTCTTCCGCGTATAGACGAATACCTACGTGCCTTCGGCTAGTTAATAGTGTTTAGCAAGATAGACTTAACCTTAGGGTTTTAGCAAGTACGAGTAGCCGACGAAGACGTCCCTAAGACCGCCTTTAATATAATTCACGGTAAATACGAGTTTAAGGTAATGCCGTTCGGTCTATTAAACGCACCTACCACATTCTAAAAGATGATAAATCGAGTCCTTTAACCCCTACTATACAAATCTGTAGTTGTATACCTTAACGACATTATTATCTTTTCCGAAGATATAGAAGAACACGCTAGAGTACTATTAAAAGTACTTGCCCTACTCCGTGAATACCGCTTGCTTACCAATCCGGAGAAATATAGTTTTAGCTAGACCGAAGTTAACTTCTATGGATACCACGTCTTATAAGGATAACTTCGCCCGATAAAGGATAAGATTAAGGTAATTCGCGAATGGCTAGAGCCTACGAACGTTAGCGAAGTCCGATAGTTCCTCGGCCTAGCGAATTATTATCGGAGGTATATCCAGGGATTCGCGAGTATCGCCGCACCCCTAATAGACCTCCTTAAGGAAGTAGACCCTCTTATCCGTAAATAGAAATATAGGCCTATTCGATGGACGCTATTAACGGCGTTTACCTTTAAGACCCTAAAGAATGCCCTGTATTCCGAACCGGTTCTAGCTTAACCTAATAAGACTAAGCCCTTCTACATTAAAACGGATGTAAGTAACTATGCGATCGGTATAGTAATCTACTAGGAGGATCCTAGCAAGTAGTATTAGCTAATCGCGTTTAACGGACGAAAGCTTAATGGCGCCGAGCTTAACTATCCGGTTCACGAAAAAGAACTCCTCGCTATTAAACACGCCCTACGCACTTAGAGATACCTACTAGGAACGAAGAAGACGACGATCCTAACCGATTACCATAGCCTATAGTTCCTTAAGTCTATAAAGGAATAAGGAGGCCGTATAGATAGATGGATTGATAAGTTCGGAAGCTTCGATCTCGACATAAAATATCGCCTAGGATCTAAGGCGGTGGTACCTAACGCCATTAGTAGAAGGCTAGACTTCTAAGGCGAGATCTCCGTAATACCATTAAGTAAAGTTAATAAACACGTTCTCATAGCCTAAATTATCGAGTTCCTAAAAGGAGCCGACCTAATAGAGCATGTACTAAAAGTCTCTCCCGAAATCCTATCTCGACTACGCCTCGACGCCGAGAGTAAACTTCGATATAAGCTATAGGATTTTAATAATAGTTAAGAAGATTTAGCGGAAAATTCAGCGCCTTACATCCCGGAATAATACCGCAAGTTGCTAGTAGAAACTATATATTAATAATTCGGTCACTTTATATGGCCCGGACTACTAGGAGCCCTAGAAAAAC